CAAAGGCTGAACTGAAGGATTTCTGAGCACAAAAAACACTAAGTATAACGATCGGCACTAGGCTAATACTACTACATTTCACACACAATTTTTGCACTGAAATAAATCTAATCTAAAATGAAGGCAAGCCACTACTGCTTTTTATATTTATATTAAATTATAGAACAAGAATTTTGTATACAAAAATTATAATAATTATGGGGTTTTTGATAAAACATAAACCAAATAAATGTTTGTTATAATTTGGTATCAAATGTATAGCCTTCAGCAAATAATTTTTCAAGAAATTTTCAAGTTTCTTATTTCAGTTCATCGTTTTTAAGCTTTTTTATTTTCATGTTTTTTTAACGGAAGTCTTTTAGTTTTGTTCAAGTAACAATTTTCCCAAGTTTAGCTGCTTTGCAATTTAAATGTACACTAAATTCAAGAACTTATTATTATTTAATATTTTTAAACTCTTTCTCAAAGCATAATATCTTGATTTTAGATCCTTATTTATTTCCGTGCAGCAATCTCAGACGGAGAAAAAACACTGCACTCACATTCCCACACCCGGAGACGGGAATTGTGTATTTTTGTTGATTTCTTTTTATGAATCCGTTGGTGGAGCACGCCTCGAAGTCGATGGCACAAAATTCGCGTGTGGCTGCCCTCGCGATGCGCTCCGTTCGGCGGACAGACTGTGACTGAGGCTAGAAAGCTGGCGACTGATTGCGAGGCGGAAACTGCGTCGGCGGCGCCAAAAGCTGCTCTGCCGGCGGAGCAGTCAACGCCGACGACATCGGCAGAATGCCGGTCTATATTGTAACTGTTTGTTTGCCGCCTCTCTGTGCTGCAGATACTTTCGTTGTCCGTTGTCCGTTGTCCGTCGTCCGTCGTCCGCTGTCCGTTGTTGATACTGATGGAGCACAAAATTCGAAATGCAATTAAAAGCGTTTGTTTGAAAGAATTCGAAATAGCAGCAGATAACTTTTATTCGAGAGAAGGCAGAAAATGCTTTTTGGAAAGGCAAAACAAAAACAGCCAGCTTTGTAATTTGTTAATCAAATTTTCGGGCATAGCAAGTAAATAGTTTTAATTGATTTTTAAGAAGCATCGAATTTTATATTTATAGATACAAAAATTAAAAATTGTGGCCAATATAACTAAGGCCCGAATTGGAAAACAGTCAGGTTTAAATTAGAAATTAATCAAACTGTTAACTGTTAATAAAATAATTTCTATTTTATTTTAAAATAACCCTTATATGGTTTGTATTGAATGTTAATGATGTTAACTTAAGTAAATCAAAGTTTATTATTTTGCATAGATATAGAAATATGTTTTCACGTGTCTAAAATTCTTAGATTAAGAATTGGTAACACTTGCTTAGACAAATATTGTGTTAAGGTGTTAATCTTATCTATATCTTGTATGTTGTTAGCCTAATTATGTGTTAATCTCATTTATCTCACTGAAAATCTTACCTACAAGTGTGTTAGATTGTTTACCTAATTGTTTTTTGATAATTCAAGCTTATATCCACATTTTATGAGAATTTATTATTAAAAATTCAAACAAGTATTGCAACTTTTCAATTATTTTATGTCTCCAAGAGATATATTTAAAAAATAAATGATAAAAAGTACAATAGTACAACTTTTCAATTATTTTATGTCTCCAAGAGATATATTTAAAAAATAAAAGATAAAAGAGTTAAAGATCTGAACTGCAAACTTTAGGAGCACCTATTTAATATAATTTTTGCTTATTTGTTTCTTTTAAACTACATATCTTTTTGCACAAACTATATTCCTTAATTTCTATTTTATTTTTTACTTTTTTTATTGAAAATAAAACTTTAAAACTCTTTAACTATACATTAGTATATTCCCGAGGCCAATCCCCTGTGTTTTGTGTTTGCAGAACTCGTGCGAATCAAAATAAAGCGCAATTTCGCCGGTCTCAGTGCAATTTAGAGCTGCATTGCAAAGCGCAGACCTGCTGCCGTGACCAGGTTTTTTTCCCACCGCAGACACCTGCTATCCTGGACTGCAAGCACTTGGCTATAAATAGGAGCTACTGGTGGAGTACCCGAAGCCAGCGGGCGCAACACTTTCGTTTAACTTTTGTGGCAACAGAAATTAGTTCCCAGGCGGCCCCATAAGCTCAGAAAGGAAAAAGGGCTAAAAACTTGAAGGAAAACAGGAGCAAAATATGGGGGGGGAGACAGGCAGTCGATATGGCGACATGTGCCCCTGGTCCCACATGTGCCGCTGGGGCCAAGTTTGCTTTCTTAATTATTTACACGTAATAAAAACTAAGCATAATTTTCCAGCGTCAACTAACCCATCGAGGAACGCACTGGCGCCTCATTTCAAATTCTATAAATAATTTCAAAAGCGGTTGATACGTATTGCCAAAGGCTTCAGAAAGCCGGAAAAATGGAAAACACATTCATACAAGTTGTTGGTTAAAGAGAGGGAGATAGAGAGGATAGAGAGAGCAAAGCGGAAGAGAGTGAAACTCTGCTGGCAGAGAAAGAGAGAGCTTCGACTGCTACGCCAACAGCGCAGCAGCAGCAGCAGCGGCGTCACATGCGGCGTATGCGTAATTTTGTCAGCCTTATCAGAAAGCCATTGCAAGCAAAAGTTTATTTTAAAGAGCCGGGCCATTTATCGAACTTGCAACGTGCTGTTGTTGTTGTCTCCTGCGGTCTGGAGCCACATGCTGCACTCCCCTCTACCCCTATTCTACCCCCCTTGTACGGAATGGAGCTCCTTTTTGCCAGGATGCAAGCCTATCCCAACACAAGAGTCGCGTTGTTTGCACACCGACTGCCCAAAGCCCGCCAATTGTTTATTCAAGCAGCATCCCAGCCCATGTGCACTTGAACTGGCCGCCGCCTCTCTCCTCCTCTCCCTTGGTTTGGCATGCCTGTGCATTCATTGGGTCTGCGATGTGTTTGTCTGGCCATTTTTTTATTCCAGCCAGCCTTCATCTATGGCACACTGCGGGGAAATGTTTAGTCATTCAGTTAGTAAATTAATTGTAAATTGAATAGAGTTTAAAGGAGTTTTAATTATATATTTATATTTATATTTATATATTTCTTCTCACAAAGTTTGTATTATTTATTGTAAAAATAAAGTGGGAAATATGTATATGAAACTTTTATTATATTAAAGAGTCTCTAAATATCACTATTTTATTTTAAAATCAAACTGCTTTCTTAACTTGACTTGCTTAACAAAACTCTTTCATAGATTAAACTTAATTTCTCTTTGTGTATAAAGCGCTCCCTGCAGTTGTTATCGCGGCAGTTTGTTGTTGTCGCCGGGCTTAAACGGCTCTTAGCGGCAGTGAATCAGTGGCCAAACATGTAATCTGTTTAATGGCCACTGACCGTGCTCTCTGGACCCGGCTGTTTCAGCTTTTTGCTACTCCTGCTCCTGCTCCTGCTCCTCCCTTCTAGTCTGGCCATCGCGTATACGCACTGTTGCCCCGGTAAATGCTTGGAATTTGCATAGAGCTTTATTTCAAATACTTGTACTCTTTTCGGCATCTCTATGTTAGTGCCCACCTGTTGCTCGGAAAAGAAACACCAAATGCCATTTAGACATTTGGACATTCGGGGGCAAACAAAAAACGTAGTAAAAAAAATAGAAACATAAAAAAAAACGTTAAACAAAAATCAAATAACTGCTGCAAAAAAAAAATAAACAAAACAAAACAAATACCAAAAGCGAGCGTAAACTTGTTGGTCGCGCCACTGATTTGCATAAACCGCAAAAAACCAAGCTGAAAGCGATAAAAGATTTACAGATCTCTGGCTGAGTAAACAACAATAAATAGAAACATTGCTCGCCACTTTTGGTTTTAACAGCATTTTCAATCAGTTAAGTTTTAGCCAAGGGAGCTAACATTTTCGATCCCTTAATCTAAGCCGCAGATCTTGATGATTTTTGGGAGTTTTTATTATAAAGCCAGGGAACCTGCTCTACAAAAGCAGCCTTTTATGGCCTCATTTTAGCACCGTTTATCGATCTCAAATAACAGTTCTAAAATAAGTGCCTAAAAAACAAGACTTTTCGGAATGAAAAACATGGTTAATTAGCATAAATAATTATGCAAGTTGCCTTGACTTGGCCAACTGAAGTATTTTCAGATATTAAACAATGCAACTTATTTGCATTGTGACAGAGATCCTGATAGATCAATTTTAAATGAAACATAATATAGTTCCTTACTTGATAGTTTTAATATCTTCTGTTCTGAAACCAGAATCATCATTTTTGATTACCAACTTTATTGTTTTCAGACCGTTTATAGATCTCGTATAAAAGCGGCTAAAGACGTGTTAAATATTTTCATTTGCCGAATTCAAACCCGATTAGCATCCAACTTGATTCGCATCGATTGGTTTATTCCCATTCATTTGCCCTAATTAAGTGAAATATGGATTTGCATTTTGATTAAATAATCCGAACATCGTTTTTGATTAGATCTCGTTTAGGCAGTTAAATTTTAAGAGCGAAAAAAGCTAACAAACAAACAAATAAAATACAATTTAATTCAATATACTTATTTGATTTTAAATCATCTGTATATAATTATTGTTTAATTGCTTTTTCTTTATTTGGGAAAAAATTAATTTAAAAAAAAAAATTTTAATAAAAATTATTTTTATGATATAAAAATTTTGAAACTACAATGTCAAGGTTTTGCTTTATGTTAAGCACCATCTGTTGAGATTTAAGGACATATACTGGGAACAGTATAGTCTAGTCGCCACATATAGAGGGCGGAATAAGGAGTAAGCTCAAATAATAAACATCTGAGTTGAGGTAGGGAAATTTAAAAAATGGTCTTATACCTGAGAAATTCCTGCCAGGAAACGCAAAAGCCCGCCATCTAGCGGAAATTTCCTTTTCTTAAGTGTGACCAACTGCAACGACATCAAGAACCTTTCCTTTATCTGTCCAATTTTAGCATTTCTAACCTTAGTTCAGGCAGCCACACTGCACTTAAAAAAAAACAAAAATAAAGTCTTTGTTTTTCTGTGTTCATCGCAAATTCCCCGCCCCCGCCCTTTATTGCCAAAAAAAAAATGAGCTGGCGTGATAGCATCACCAGCATTCCCGGCGCAGTGGCGCATATCCTCAACGAAAGCGCCAACACTCTGCTCTCGCACAGCTCCGCCTTGTCGGGAGCAACAGTTGGCAGCGCCTTCTCTGGCGGATCGGGATCTGGATCTGATGGCGGGGGCTCTGAGGAAGGTGCCCCGCATGGCGAGTACCGCGGCTTGCCCATTCCCGCCTCACTGGTTCGGGAACAGTGGCGCCTGATCTTCACCAGCGATGCCAATATCCAGGATTTGAATGCGGCCATTGCCCATTGTCGGGATCTTGTCCTGCTGAGCGAAGAGGTCAGTGAGGAGCGGCGTTGGCTTGTCAGACATCTGGTGGACCTGCGTTACTCTCTGCAACAACTGGAGGAGGCCCAGGAGCAGCAGTCGCTCTCTTCGGACATTGTCCTGATGAATGCCATACGGGCGGTGGTAGGGCACCACTTTGTGCCGCATCACCCGCACCACGGCAAGCGAAGTCGCCTGCAGGCAGCCGCCAGGAGAAACTACTGCGACCACTGCACCGCCATCATATGGAGCGTGGTTCAGGCTTCATACGTGTGCAGCGACTGCGGCTACCTGGTGCACCAAAAGTGCATCGACAATGTTAAGCGGGTGTGCGCCCACGTCCTGGTCTCGGAGCGTCAATATCCCGTTGCGGAGATCTGTCCAGAGATTGGCCTTGCCGCCCAGGGATACAAGTGCGCCGAGTGCGGAACGCTGCTCAACCTAAGTGAGTGCAAATCCTGTAAAAAAGGTGTTGGAAATAAATTACGAATTATGTACCCACAGAAAACCCCTGGATAGAGCCACGTCTGTGCGACTACAGTGGCATGTACTTTTGTCCTCGCTGCCATTGGAATGACAGCAACTTTATACCAGCCCGCATTATCCACAACTGGGATTTCTCGGCCCGGCGAGTCTCCCGCATGGCGCTCCAAGAGATCCGCCTGTTCCTGAACAAGCCGCTCATCCGGCTGGAGGAGGACAACCCCAAGCTGTTTGTGTTCGTGGAGAAGCTATGTGCGGTGAAAAAACTACGCCAAAATCTGGTGCACATGCGTCACTATCTGGCCGCCTGCAAGATCGCCAGCGATCTGAAACTGGTGGACCAGCAGCTCAGCGGACGACGACACCTTGCGCAATCCAATGAGTTCTACTCGCTGACTGATTTGGTTCAGGTGGACACTGGAGCCCTCACAGAGTTTCTGCAGGCTGTTTTTAAGGCCTTCGATGAGCACATCCGATCGTGCCACATGTGCCTGGCCCAAGCGTACATCTGCGAGATCTGCAGCAACAACGAAGTGATCTTCCCCTTCGACGACGGCTGCATTAAGTGCGATCAGTGCAACTCCATCTTCCACCGGGTCTGCCTCACGCGCAAGAATATGATTTGCCCCAAGTGCACTCGCATCCAGGAGCGGCGTCTGCAGCTGGATCGCATGAAGAGCACCCAGGAGGAGGAGGAAGAGGCCACCGATGATGACGTGGCTGTCGCGGAATAGCTTTTTGAATTTCAAGTTCACTCGTCTCTGTGCTGGTTTTTAATGTTATATTTACATAAGGTGTAACCAAAAATATATATAAAACTACTATTAAATTTAAGATTAAGGAGTCCCTTTTAGTTGTCCTTCTTCCCGTACTTTTCCTTCTTGTGGAACTTTCTGGGATTTATGCCGTATGCCTTTAATCGATCGTCTGTTATGCCACTGGAGTTCTTGTTCATTTTATTTTTCGCCTTGAAGTTATTGTTTTTCTTTGCCGGAAAGGGTGCGCTTGCCTTGTGGTCCGATTTCTTGAAAGGATTGGCCCCTTGCTTAGAGTTTCCTTGTTTGTTTTTCACCGGTGATTGCCCTGGCTTCGAGTTGGCTCTATTTTGTTGCTTGTTAAATGGATTATTTCCATTTGGTTTTTCGGATTTTTGCAGAGCGTTTTCAGTTGCCTTTTCAGATGTATTTTGCGCTGGTTCTTCCGTTCCATTTGCTGTCGTTTTATTTGCTTTTTTCTGTTTGTTTACCTTGTTCTTATCAGGTTTATTTTGCGTTTGCTGTGCAGGAGCATTTGCATTGGTACTTTGATCTTGTTTGCTCTTTTTTGGAGCAGAAGATTCGTCCTTCGCTTGGCTGTCTTTAGCCTGCTTAGGCTGCTGTGACTCCTTGGACTGCTCTTGGAGGTTCTGTGCAGGAGTAGCTGCAGCTGCTGCTGCAGCAGCTTTACGTTTCAAGCGCTTCCTTTTCGATTTAGATAAACCTTCCGTAGGGATCTGAGACGATTCAGCTGGAGCAGACGTTTCGGCAGTTGGTTGAGCACTTGAAGTCTCTTCTGTTGGCTGATCCTCATCGTCAGAACTGAAATTATGCAAAGTTTTAGTCCTAGATCTAATGAAAATCAATAACTACTTACCCATCGCCGTAAAGACTCTTGAAAATCTTTCGCTTGAGGTCCTCATTCTTGGCCTTCATCTTGTACAGACGCTGCTCTTTCTTTTCTACATGCTCTGGTCGTGTTTGGACAGCCTTCTTGAGGCTGGCCCACTGATTAAGCTCCTTGTTCCTGGCCAGCACGATCTGCAATATAGAATGCCAGAAAATAAGTTTACTCCGCACATAGGGTTTGTGCACCTACCTCCTCTATCGTCAGGCCAAAATCATTGGGTGTAGTCTCCACATATTTGAAACGACACGGCAGATCTCCGATGATGTCCTCGCAATCCAGTTGATAATATTCGTCTATATACTCGCCATAGGTTTTCTCATCCTCTGGATTGAATGCCGGCTTCTCGGCCTGGATCATTTCCATGAAGCGATTCCGCCTGCCCTTGCGACCCTTGCGACCGCGCGTGCTCTCGATTAGCTCTTGCTGGAGTTGCTGCTTGGCAGTAGACGGATCGTAGTCACAGTCCATGTTGAAGTCATCGTCCTCGCAGTGCCCTTCATAATCTTCATCACCACCGTCCTTATGCTCCCTGGGATCGTAGTTATCCCAGTCCTCTAGCACCAACTCGTCGATATCCGAGGGGCACTCTGGCTTTTCCTCGCCCTCGTCCACCTTATAGTACTCGTCGTCGAAGAGCTCCTGCATGCGTCGATCGTGAGCATCCGGATCGAAGTCTTCTTCCAGTTCGTCGTCACGGAAACCGAGCTCATCGTTGCCGGTGACCGCTTTCAGTTTACGTATCTTTTCCTCGATCTCTTTGCGCTTCATATCCTTGATCAAGTCGAGTTCCTTCATCTTCTGCTGCTTCTCCTGTTCCTTGCGCTCCTTCAACTCCTTGCGTTTCTCCTTTCTCTTGTCGTCCGTCCGTCGAATGGACTGCTCCACGGTGCGGGGATAGCGCTTGATGAACTCCGCATCGGGTTCCTCAAAACGGAAGTTGTACTTGTGCTCGAACTCCGCCTGCTTCTCTAGCTCCTGTTCATCCTCGGACAAGGGAGCGGTTTCGCCGACAATCTCATCGTAGGTGGGAATGGCGGACTCATCTGTTTTAGAATAGCCCTTGTTGAGGATGTAGTCTCTGAGGAAGCTCTCGCCCTGCGTCAGCTTGCTGCTGGCCCAGTACTGCTTCAGAGGTTCCAGCTGCTCTTTGTCTTTTTCTTCAATGTTCTCTTGTTGGCCAGCTAGCCACTTGGCAAAGTCTGCCTCCTCGGCCTCCGTTTGCTCCTTGGTCTTGCTTCGTTTCTTGAATATGCCGCCGAACTCCTCGTCCTCGCCATCGTCCTCTTGGTTCATCACATTCCGGAACTCATCCTTCAGACGGCGCTCCTCCTCAACAGCGGTGGGAGACTGTGCACGCTGATATTCCTCCTCCTCCTTCTCCTGCTGCTCGTCATCCGAACTTTCAAACTTGCCATTGTGCTCAAGTATCACTTTCCTCTCGTAATCCTTTAGGGTCACTGGCTTTGATTTCTTCTTCTTTTTGGGAGAAGACTCCCCCTCTTTGTCGTTCTCATCGCTGGAGGACTCGTTGAAGAATCGCGTTTCCTTGTCGTATATTCGCGGGTCTTTGCTCTTTAGCGAGGAAAGCGTCTTGAAGAAGTCCTGGTCGAACTTGGGGTCCACTTCATCCTCCTCGGATGACTCGCTGTCGCTATCGAATTCGGATTCCGAAACGTCCAAGCCGCGATCCTTATCTGAAGAAAATCAAAGAATTAAGAAATTGGGCAATGGTTGCAATCTTCGCGCTTTACATTTTTGGAGCAGCTCCTTTTTGCGCAAGTGATTGTAGGTCTTGGCATAGTCCTCGTTGGTAGTTAGCTGCAGATCGTTGCCCTCATCATCCGAGCCGTCGAATAGATTATTGTTCATAATTCAGCTTATTTCCTTGGATTTTCTTATTAACTTTCGTTTCCACACGTGTTGACGGGAACAGCTGTTAAGTTGATACGACAGCTGTTTTCGCTAGAGATGTGCAAACGAAGATCATACAATCGATAAGATATGACTTCAATTTTAATAAATTAAAATCAAAGTTGTTGAAGCAAAATATTTATATTACAGATATGGCGACTCAATTATTTATTTACTCTACGCATACTGAAATTAGAATTTAATTATACAAATTTGTTTTTTTACAATCGTGACACCTATCGATGTTGTCATCAACGATTTGTCGTACCTAAGGTTTTTATATTTACAATTTTCGCAAGTTTTGTTAATTACGCCAAATACTAGGCAATTTAGCAACATTCCAGTTAGATGGCAGAGACACCTGAACCCCAAGAGGCCTTGAGCACCTCATCCTCCACGCCCGCCGACAAGGACTCCTCCAAGAGTGAGATATCCTCATCTTCTTTTCTATCACAAAGGTGTTATAATTTTTGTATGATTTGTTATCTTAGTTTGCGTTCTCCTAAACGCAACGGGAAATGTCCCCATCATCAAGAAACGCACATGGACAGTAGATCCCAATAAAACCGTCAGCTGGATTCAGAAGTTCATCCACAAATACTTAAAATTGGATGCCAACGAGCAGATTGCAAGTACCCCCCATTAACCCACCCAGAACCACAATCTTATTGCAAATCTTTGTACTGCAGTTTCTTTACGTTAACCAGACGTTCGCTCCCGCCCCAGATCAGATAATCAAAAACCTGTACGAGTGCCACGGGACCAATGGCAAGCTGGTGCTCTACTACTGCAAGAATCAGGCGTGGGGCTAAATCAATACAGACTTGATTTGACTAAGTCTTAAGTATTTATTGTGTATTTTAATTAATGTGAATAAGCTGATGTTGCAAACTCGATTTCACACTTTATTTCCCCCCAAAGGGGCCTAACAATTGTATTTAAATGAATATTAGAAGGGATTTAGTCTCCACGCAGAGCCTCCAGCTCGTCGGCAGCCTCTTTGGATACCCTGTGATACTTCGCCACCGAGGGTCGGTAGTAGTAGGCCTGGTAATCGTTGCGCTCGGACATCTTGAGGCGCACCTTCTCCTCCAGAAGGCTACAAAGATAACAATGAAGATATTACAAAGGCGAGTGGTTAGCTTTTCCTGAGACCTACCGGATCTGCGCCTTCTCGTTCTCCTCGAACAGGTAGTGCAGGGACTTCTCGTAGTTTTGCTGCTCCGAGTTCAACAAGTAGCGGGAAATAAAGCGGGAGATGGGGTGCTGCAATGGAAAGCGAATATATTTAAATATAAGTTTGATATTTGTTTATTTTTCAACATAGCTGGTAGGTAAAACCACCTGCCATACCTTCTCGTACTCCCAGTGCTTGGGCTCATAGCCCTCTGGAATCTCCGCCAGCTGCGCCGGGCCCACGAAGATGTTTGCGTAGAGAACCAGTCCAGTGACCGGGATCAGACCGAGCATTACGTAAAAGTGCATCAGATCCTTGAACTTGTCCCACTGGAAGCGCGACGGCTTGATGGTCATGTGGTGGTGTCCATGATCGCCGCCCATCCTGCGCAGCTGTTGTTGCAGGGCTAGAAATCCAGAGTAGTTGGTTGCGTAATGTGGAATGTGTTTACCGCGGTTGCTGAGCGGAGGACTCACCATTCCGGCAGGCGGGAGTCTGCAGGACAGTCCGGAAGTTCGCGAACTGGGCCGCCGGCGTCAGCAAACGGCTCCAACCGACCATTTTAATCTATTTTGATTTTTAATTCACGATTTGCAGCTGGTCGCGTCGAAGATGTGAGTTTCTGGGCAGCAACGTATCGATGTATCGATAACGGGTGCGGTAAAAACACGAGTAGCAACACAAAAAAGTTCCTATACACAATTTTTAGAATTCGCACTTTTTCGAATTATTATTATGATGTTAAAATATATTCTATATTTAAAAAATGAAAGATTTTCCAAAGACTGCTTTTAGATTCTTCTATCAAGTCGCTACAAAAATAATTAATCTATTCTAAAATTTTAAATTTATCGTTTACCCTTAATGGTATAATTATACCATTGCAAGGTTAATAATTTAGTCTACTGACTTAAATTTGGTTCGTAATAAAAAAGAGATAATTCAATATATATAATTTTGATCAGCATCAACAGTCGATCAAGCCATGTTCTTCAGATAGATGTTCAGGTAGATTTTCGAGACATTTTTAATATTTTTACAATTTTAATTTTAATTCTGCTCAAATTTGATTGTTATATCATATAGATGGCATAGGAACAATCGGAATATATAAAAGAAATAGTTAAACTGTTAATTTAATACATATAAGAAATTAATGAAAATATATAATAAATTATTAAAAGTTGACTTTACTTCTTATAGTTTATATTATATTAAATATATCAACCCTGAGAATAGTAATTTTAAAAATAAACCATAAATTTTATTTCCCTCGAATTTTATATCATATGTCATACATAATTTCAAGTTAGTTATCCTTTTCATTTGACCGAAGTTGATCGTTTTGTAATGCGCCAATTGAAAACTTCGGCTTGGCAAAAGTGGATTTCCTTCTTGTTTTTTATTGATTTAATTTATTTTTATTGAAACAATGTTATTATTTATAAAATATTTTAGAAAAATTCCTCGTGACACGAGCGCCCTGTGTGACTATTAAAGCTTGACAGTAGTTCAGGAAAATTGCTCTAGTGACATCGATATTTGAGTATCGATAACATGGATAAGTCGTCAGACGTTGACCATCACTGTTCATCCACAAAAACAACGTCTGGAAGTAAAATTAAAGAAAACTTTTTTTTACTGATAAAAGGTACTTTCTTGACCCGTTCTGACTCATAAGAAGAGTACAAACTCCAGGAATATGTGAAACAAAAGAAGGTGCTATCAAATAAGTGAAAATCAAGTAATCTGGGATGATTTTTGAGGCACACACCCGCCCAGTTTGCTGATAAAAGCTCGTATAGCGCAAAAAAAGTAAATATCATTAAGAGATGGCAAAACACAAATGCGCAGTTTGTTTGCAAATAATTGCCATTAAGCTGTTTGTGAGTGCGTGTGTGTGATTGTTAGCAATTTTCCATTTTCCTGCAAGGAGCTTGTGCAATTTTATTCCTGTGTGTGTATGTACCTACAGTAGCGGGACAAAGGAGCAGGCCTACTCCCTTTTACAGTGATTGGAAAAAGGAGCAGTATGGCACATTTAACAGTGATGGCAGAAGGGATGGCGTAGTTTCAGAATTAAAGAAATTTAAATAATATTCCAAACCACTTTTAAGAAAAGTGGTACAGAGAAGCAGATAAACAAGTTCATTTAATGGAATTTTACCACTAATGGCAATCTCTTAGTTACTGATATTTTATGTGCTCTTGTTATTTGTACAACTTTGTATTGTAACTGCGATAAGCAGTCAGCTTGTTTCATTCTTTGTTGTTATCTGTCATGAATATACCTTATTTGTCTCGCCACCGCTGCCATGCCCATTTGCAGCCCCACCACTGTATGTGTAGCCCGCAAGGTGGGCGCCTTTCAGGGCCAAGTTAAACTTTGGCCAAATCTTTTCCGTTCAAATGCACGGTTGTGAATCAGCCAGTATTCAGTACCAGTGCCAGTGCCATTCCAACACCAACCCACGGCAGCGAATAATCAGTCAAGAAAACTAGCTTGTCGGCTGTGACGTCATCGATAGAGTACTGCCATCGCTGCTTATGGCTAATTTATTCTCGCATTTCAGCGGCATTATATATTCCACATGCCAATATAATCGACTGAGCCACGTCCTGCGTCACCGCGAGAATTCCAATCACATCGAACGGATACGGATAGCACCCGACCGAACACTTACCCACCCAACCACCACCCCACAACACCCAACACAGTCGCAATGGATTCCCATTCGCGTTTCACACCGAGATTACCAGGTAAGTCCGCCGGCCGCTTGGCCAAAAGTCATGCTTCTCGATTCGAATACCTAGTTTTGATCTTTGGTTTTGTAACTGCTTAGCATTTTGAGCGCCACTGCAAGCGATTTGCCTTGTTGGTTGCCGCGAAAGAATTCCCAAAACAATTACAGAACCGCAGTTGTACAGGTGAACTTTGCTTAATACAGATACTTAATACATCTAAATATGATCAAACTTTAATCGAAAGTACTTAAATTAATAGACTTTATATAATTTGAAAGTTAGAAATTTAAAAGAACAAGGAATACTAAACATAAATCAATTTTTTTGATGTGAATAGAACTCCAATATTTATAAATTCATTTACTTCATTTCCAAAAATAAGTCAAACATAAATTGTAGTTTCTTTGTAATATTAGACCTGATACTTTGTAGTTAAAAAAAAATCCATTGTAGGCAAGTTCACCTTTAGACTGGTTTCCCCCTACCAATCTGCGTCTTAAGTTTTGGGAGTCATTTGGCCGCACCGCTTTGTTTTGTTTTTATTACCGTATAATGTAGCTTTTTTTTTGAGGGGGAGAGCTATGCCCCCGTTGAACTAACAGTAATAGCGAGCGATTAAAACTAATTTTTGTGTCCCGCCCCCGCCTTGCCTCTTGCCTAACCCCCCTAACCGCCCCGTAATCCAACCTCTTTGTTTTTGGTATCAAGTTGTGCTACTAACCCCATTTCAAACTGTAAAACCCAGCCTATATGGGCAGCTCACAGTCTTTCTCTGTACATACATATATCTTGCATAAATATATTACTATCCGACATGTTTGCTTGGTTTGTTGTGGATCCTATGTTACTACTTTTCGCTAGCTGTGTTGTTGCCAATGTTTGTTACGAGGTTGCGTTTGTGTCATCGTTATCCCTAGACCTAGCTTAGAGCTCCCCAATCCCCGAATTGTCTCTGTTCTGTTCTGTTCAGTAATTGTCTGCCAATAATAATAGCGAAAAAGTAAGATTGTTGATTATCTAACAAATCAGATGCCAATGTACTCATCAAATTAAATTTCTCTGATTCATGTCTATTCACTTACTCAAACTCAATCCGAACTAAACTTGTTGCCTCAGGCCGTCAAAATACTTAAGTGAAAGCATTACTTGTAAGATTACGTTTTTGGAATACCAGTCCGCTCCAGGAAAACTTACGAGATTCACAAATGCCTTACCTCTCGCACCCCAAGGTCCCGCCATCAATCCGATCGTCGACAACTCGGACGAGCCCCAACCAAGTCTCTCCGATCTGCACGACTTCGAGCCGAAGCTAGAGTTCGACGATACGGAGCTGCTGGCTCCATCACCACTGGAAAGTAAGTAGAACATCGGGAAATACCGGGGAGTCACAGAACAGAAACCAGCGAAGCAGGGAGCAGAGGAACAGGAAATGTTTCTGTAACTTATAGATCCACTAATAGATTCTTTGATTCATCCCCAGAAGATGTTATGGTCGGTGACTTTGTACTGGCCGATGGTAAGTAAAAACATTATTTCCTATTAGTCGATCGATGCATTACCTCTCTCTTACTTCATTTAGATCCAGAACTAGAGCCCGAAGAGGATGTGAATCCTTTGGAGGACGATTTCGAGGACCAACTCAGGGATCAGTCCGAGACTTTTCAGACGCCCAAAAACAAATGCGATTTCCTCGGCACGGACAAGCAGGGTCGTCACATTTTCGCTATATACGCGTCACGCTTTCCAGAAAAATCTCAGCTTGAGGCCTTCGTTCGGTAAGGAAGGACTCTGAGTATAATACCTTAATTTCTTTCTTATCTAACCGATTGCTTCATCTTTTCCCGCAGTGAAATTATAAAAGAAATTGAACCGTTTGTCGAGAACGATTACATACTCGTATATTTCCATCAAGGCCTCAAGGAAGACAACAAACCATCCGCGCAGTTCCTGTGGAACTCGTATAAGGAGCTCGACCGTAACTTTCGCAAGAATCTGAAGACTCTGTATGTGGTGCATCCGACGTGGTTCATTCGGGTCATTTGGAACTTCTTTAGCCCCTTCATCAGCGATAAGTTCCGCAAGAAGCTAGTCTACATCTCCAGCCTGGACGAGCTGCGCCAGGCGCTCGGCCTGAACAAGCTGAAGTTGCCGGACAACATCTGCGACCTGGACGACAAACTGAACCCCAGTCGGAAGCCATCGACGCCGCCACCCAGCAGCAGCATAAATGCATCCCGGCAGCAGCAGCACAAAATGGCGACGACGCATCAATTCGGGGTGCCCCTGAAGTTCATTGTAATGAACAGTCCCTGCCTGAACTCCATTCCTCCGATTGTTCGCAAGTGTGTGGACTCGCTGTCGATCACAGGCGTGATAGATACCGAGGGCATATTCCGGAGATCGGGCAATCACTCTGAGATCATGGCGCTCAAGGAACGCGTTAACCGCGGCGAGGATGTGGATTTAAAGAGCGTGAATGTACACGTCATCGCCGGTCTGCTAAAGAGTTTCCTACGTGACCTCACCGAGCCGCTGCTCACGTTTGAGCTATACGAGGATGTGACTCGTTTCCTGGACTGGCCCAAAGAGGAGCGATCGCGGAATGTGACTCAACTGATACGCGAAAAACTGCCTGAGGAGAACTATGAGCTGTTCAAGTACATCGTCGAGTTCCTGGTGCGTGTGATGGACTGTGAGGACCTCAACAAGATGACCTCCTCCAACCTAGCCATCGTCTTTGGCCCCAATTTCCTGTGGTCGCGCAGCACCAGCACCTCCCTGGAGGAGATCGCCCCCATCAACGCGTTCGTCGACTTCGTGCTGCAGAACCACAAGGACATCTACTTGATCGACGTCAATCAGCGCACGGTGTCCGTCGACTAGCGACTGGCCACCGCCACCCACAAACAAGTCCGTAATTGTAAATTGTTTGATTTTAATGTTAGTCCTAAGTAAACCAACGGTTAGCGAAAAAAGAGCACACAAAACGGCAACGGAAACTAGAGTTGATAACAGTTTCGTGTATAAAGTGTACTGTACTCCTAAGTTGAATTTTAAACTGTGTGTAAGTGTGAGAACTGCTTGTAGCCCCAACTCCACGCCAACTCGCCTCCGGATCACAATTATTTAGCTCCCACGGTGTGAGCACTTAGTACGATTGATTTACCAAAGACATTTGCTCGTGTTCGTCTGTCCAGCATCGAGCAGAAGATAAATTCGAAACGAGATTTTATTATTATGTATTATGCAATAAACGCACATTCCCCATAACCGGAACGAACGAATCTTGGTTGCGTTGCTGAATGCACCTCTCGCACGTATGTAAGTGGAGTTGTGGCGAACTCGAAAATCGTATGTGTAGAATTTTGAATTTCCTTATAGTAATAAAAAAAACAATTTTTATAAAATAACGGTATTGTTAAAAATAAAGTCAAATGTTAAAACACGAATTCGCTTTGGTTATATTATTGTTTACTTCGTCAGTTCGGATATTTGAAAATTTGTGGATTGATTTAAAACGCAAAATAAATAATATTAAAACTAGCTATATTTTTTGAATTGTGAAAAGCCATTTTTATTTCGATTAAGCATTAATTTAATTAATTAATATGGAAATATTAAATCATATTATTTTAAACATATTTTGAATGGGGTTACATCGATACAATTTTCAAAAATTGTCGAAAAAATGTTTAACTAATTTAAATGAATCCTTTTTTTACTAAATTATGATTTTTTATTCAGATCGAGAATTACAATTTTAATTAATTAATGTAAAAATATACAAAATTAATGTAAAAATGTACAAAAATATTATTTATTTATTATTTATATATATTTAAAGGGGTTTAATTGATAAAATTTTCGAAAATTGACAAAAAATTTTAACCGAATTTAAATATATTCATTTTTGATTTAGTTATAAATTTTTTAAACTCTAATTTGTCCAAAAAGTTATATTAAATTATCAATAGCTATCGATTTAAAAAGAAAATAAATATTTCAGGAATTTTTGATGACATAAGATGGTTCAAACGCCAGTAATTGCGAAAAATCATGTATATTCCAATTCAGCATTAAAATCTTAATTAATCAATATAAAATAATAATTATTTTTTAAATTTTACACAAATTTTCAAGTTTTTGTATAGAGTTACATCGTTGAATTTTTCAACAATTTGAAAAATATTTTTGTTTTAATTTTCAAATTTAGTATGCAGATTTATTAACATAATAAGCAATAACATAGAAAAGCTTTCCAAATTTAAATAAATTCTTTTTTGACTCAGTTATGGATTTTTTAAATTTTGATTTGTCTAAAAAACTTATATAAAAACATCAATAGCTATAGATTTAAAACTTCTTGAGTCCATAAGCTTATCAAAAAGCCTGTAGTTGGGAAACACATGTATTCTTAATTAATTCATATAAAATACTAAATAAATATAATAATAAAATATTTTTTTTAATTGTTCTCAAGTTTCATGATTTGTATAAAATAAAATTGGAAGAGTGCTTTTTGTTTGTAATTTTTAAACTGCTTATGCAGATTTATAAACCTAATATAAACTAGAGTAGTGTAAGCAGCTTATTTTATATTCACGCCTTAGTGAGGCTACTTCGGTACAACATTATCGATAGCGCCCTCTCTCTTGTAATCGATATATGTAAACTATCCATAAGCGTCCTATCGGATGTTAACCGAAAAAAGCTAGATTTTCAGACGAGAGAGATACGGTCACTTTACTAAATAAAACATAAAACAAAATCGTTAAAATATCGATAGCTATCGTTTTAAAAATAGGCAATATTTCTGTCAAAAAGCCAGTGATTGCGAACATTTATGTGTATTTTGATTCAGGATTAAATTAATTAATTAAAATAGAAATATAAAATAATTTTTTCAAAATTTACCCAAATTATAATAGGGGTTACATGGTTAAAATTTTCAATAGTTTGCAAAATATTGTATTTATATTTTTTATGAATTCTTTTTTGACTTAGTTGAGGATTTTTTAAGCTTTGATTCGTCCAAAAAGTTATTATATAAAAACATCGATAGCTATCGTTTTAAAAATAGGAAATATTTCGGAACTTCTTGAGGCTATAATATAGTCAAAAAACCAGTGATTGCCGAAATCCATGTGTATTTTGATTCAGGATTAAATTAATTAACTAACATAATAATATAAAATAATTTTAAAAAATTTATCCAAATTATTATAAGGGGTTTCATGGTTAAAATTTTCAAAAGTGTGCAAAAATTGTTATTTAAATTTTTAATTTAAAAATTAGTATGCAGGTATATTAAACCACCAAAAGATAACATAAAAAGCTTACCGAATTCAAATGAATTATTTGTTGACTTAGTTATAGATTTTTTAACCTCTGATTCGTCCAAAAAGTTATTATATAAAAAAATTGATAGCTATCGTTTTAAAAATATGCAATATTTCGGAACTTCTTGAGGCTATAATATAGTCAAAAAACCAGTGATTGCGGAAATCCATGTGTATTTTGATTCAGGATAAAATTAATTAATTAACATAAATATATAAAATATTTTTTCAAAATTTACCCAAATTATTATAACGGGTTTCATTATTAAGTTTTTTTTTTAAAGTTTGCAAAAATTTTTATTTATTTTTTTTAATTTAAAAATTAATATTCAGATATAAAAAAGTAACAAAACAAAGCTTTCCGAATTAATATTTATTCTTTTTTGACTTAGTTGAGGATTTTTTAAGCTTTGATTCGTCCAAAAAGTTATTATATAAAAACATCGATAGCTATCGTTTTAAAAATAGGCAATATTTCGTAACTTCTTGATTCCATCACATAGTGAAAAAGCCAGTGATTGCGGAAATCCATGTGTATTTTGATTAAGGATTAAATTAATTAATTAACATAAATATATTCAATAATTTTTGACAAAATTTACCCAAATTATTATAAGGGGTTACATCGTTAAAATTTTCAAAAATTTTAATTTTTTTTAAACTTTGATTTGTAAAAAAATTCTCATATTAAAATACAGACAAATTATTATTCAAAGAATGCGAATATATTAACCTTAGGTATGATCCATTTCGGATTCTATCCTATAATTCAATTGCAAATAGGAAGCGTAGACAAATTGTTTGCCAAAGTAGATTTTTGAGCAGTATTTATTTTATTTATTTTTTTATTACTAAAGGTAATGCAATGCCCAGGAAATAACTTTATTCCGTAAAAAAATAATAACGTTTTTGGGGACCAAACTTGTGGATAATCGCAAGCGATTTTATTATTAAAATCAACACAAATCGGTCCAGTTTGGAATATTAAATATATAATTACGGGTCACAAGTAGTCGACTTAAATGGCTTAAATGTTGATGTTCTTCAGCTTCCGGTTCAGTTCGTTGAACTTGAGGATTTTACGCACAAAGAAGTCGCCATAGCGATGTGATACCTTGGTGTCGGCTATGTGGATCATGTCGTCGTCAATATAGAAGTCCAGCTTTAAGAAAAACAATTAGATTAGCTACCTTTCGTCAATAGTATGGATAATAACGCACCTCAGAACCCGACTTGAAGGTGCCCTCCAGGCCACTGGGTCCCTTGCTCCACACTAGGTTGCGCATCTTGTGCTTGAAGCAAAGCAGGCGGATCAACAGCTTCGACACGTCATCTTCGCTGGCATTGGGATCGATGAAGGAAGCCAGTTTTGCCAATGGAAGGGTGGTGTACAGCTTCAGATACGACCGCGTCGTGGGTAAATCCTTCTGCTGGCGTACTTCGTCCATGAACACCAGCAATTGGTGCTCCATCGGGTCCTTCACGTAGTCCTCCATCGGCGCATCGGCGGCTGGGGGCAGGGGCTCACAAATCGGGGACAGGCGAAGCCAAAGAACGATTTGAAGACATCCAGATCGCCGCACTGCATCTTGAACATGGCGTCGTGGTAGTTCTTCTCGCGCAGCACCTGCTGGATGGACTCGTCGATGCACTGGGGATGCAGCACAAGGCAGATGGCCAGCAAGTGATACATCTGCTCAGCCTGCTTGTTAATCTGGTCGTTTTGGTACGAGCGCGTGCTGTACAGCTGCTTGGTGCGCTGGATGTACAGCAGGATGTCGGAGAAGGTGCGGATGGCGTCGGCATAGCGGCGCATCATCATGTAGGCGAAGCCCACGTAGTAAGACGTGGAGATCTGGCAGGCGGGGATGTGCGAGTAGGCGGACTTCTTGTGGATTTCGATGGGCTCCAGAACCTTGATGGCCTGGTAGTAGTCTCCCAGCAGCGAGTGCACGCGCAGCAGGCCCACGAGGGAGAAGTAGCCCAGCATCTTGTAGAAGGAGAGCTTGCCGAAGTCACCGGCGACGGTCTGGGGATCCACGCCTTGGGAAATGGCCTCCAGCTGCTTCTTGATATTTGAGATATCCACCAGAGAGTGCAGCACATTAAGGATGCAGAGAATGCTCCATACGTTGCTGTGGTTCACGCACAGCTGCTGGATCTCGTCCTCAGTTTTGTCCGTAAGACGGGCACTGCAATGAGTCGACGTTCAGAGCGTTTCACGGTGTATATGAACAACTACTCACCGATATTGCGCAAAGTTCTGGAACTGGTACACGAACTCATCGACGAGCTCCCACAGCCAGATGTCAGGCAGCTCCAGCATCACCGGGTTCTGGGCCGAGATGATAAGGTTGAAGAAGTCGCAATAGTTGAAAAACGAGTTGATGCGCTGCTCCAGCTTGGGGCCTCCCTGGATGCGGGCGTGGATGTGGCGGTAGTACAGCTCCTTGTACAGGATCAGGAAGACCTTGTCGTTGTCTACGATGGCGGCCACCTCCTGCTCCTCCGGCCAGGCGGTCTTGTCAAAGTGGTGGTCGCTGATCTGCGGGAACGTGTTCTCGTACATGTTCTGGATGTCATACAGATTGCCCTCCTTGATCGCCTGGCAGAAGTTGATGAGGAAGTACTTGACATTGTCCGGCATACGACTGGCGTAGTAGTTACGCTCGTACTCCATGTCCAGCTGTGGGTCTCCGGTGTGCGCAAAATCATCGTAGTAGTCCTGAAATAATGAAATTTTAATGAGTTTTAATATTTTACATTTGCTGGGAGCGGAAAAGTTGGGTTATGTTCTCGGCGCGGCATCAGTTCTTGCCTACGGCTTTCCCGGAATCCCGGCACTTACCGAATTGGGTGGGTATTCGTCTCCGCCGTACATTGTCGCTGATTTATCTTCTACTGGTGTACGTAAAACGAAAAGGCGATCCAAATCCTGAAGAATCTGACAACACGCCAACAAATTTTTGGCGAAAAGAGGGCTAGGGATGTGAGAATATATCAATATATCGATGAATCGATATTTATTGATACTTATTAAACGGCTCAAAAAATATTGCCCTTTTTCCTTATTAAAGCGTCCTTTTCATTGCATTTTTCAAATATAATTTAATTTATAACAATAACAAACTAACATAAATTTTCTAGGTTAATTTTAAAATTACTCGATTTGTTCTCTGAGTAATCGATACTCATTTTGATGTTTTGTGGGACCAGTTACCGAATAAATTTATGGCGTTCTTCAGTTCTGGGTATTTTTTAACACTCAAGTGACGGTCACACTGGCAGCTAGACGAGACGTGTTGTGTGTCATCCGCGTTAATTATTTTTGTTAATTCAAACGAAACTCTTCCGAAGTGGGCGTGAGCTGGCGGAGTCGTAGTGCAACAGGGGCGTTTTAGCTAAAACAGTGAAGCCCGAGTTATAACAAACGCGAAACGGGAAATAGGAGAACTCGAAGTTAACAGCTTGGACTGGACGCGTTGCCATAAATCGAGTGTTCTACGGCAGTTTTCCAGCCCGAAAAGTGCATTTGCCAGCGGCAGTTTTGTAAAGCATTTCCCGAAAGCGGATATAAATGTGTTTATAAATCGATTCCCCGGAAGTTTATGATATAGGGCCTGCAAGATGAGGCCTCCAGGAGCAGTTCGAAAGCAGCATTGGCTTCGCTTCAGTTTGGATTACTTTGCCTCCTATTGCTGGCCAATAATGTCATTAGATCCGTGCAAGCAGGTAAATATAGTGTTATAACTTGAAAAATCAAGGAATTGTGTTGGTTTTCCGTGAATTTTATTGAGAAAATGTGACATAAAACGATGAATTGTTTGTAAGCCAGAATTTGGGCGTGTTCCCCAAAGCTGAAGACTCGCTCCTCCATTCCCTCTTGCTCCGTGCTTCGCTTTTAAACTCGCTCTTTCCGATCGCGAGAGAGCGCCAGAAAGAGAGGAGACGAGAGCGATCCAACCGTTGCTTACGAACAGCGGTGGCAAAACAAAAACGGCGACTAACAACGCCCGTTTTCTTCTCGCTTCTTTTCAAGCTGTACTTGTTCTTTAATTGTTTCTGTTTTTTACGGCGGAACTCAAGGGAATAATGTCGCTGAGCTTGAAGCATTTGCCGGCCGCATCCCTGCAATCCGAAATTATGCGGCGCTCGACTGCGCATGCGGCGGAAAAAGCATCCGCTGATTTATGATGCTGCCGGAACACGTGTTCTATCATCTTTCCATATGTCAACAGAGATAAGCTCCTTGTTTAGCCGATACTAAATCCCGCGTAATTAACATTTGAAAACAAAATAAGACAAAGTACTGTAGAAAAAGTCAGTCCGAGTAACCTTTTATATATTATTTTGATTTGAAAGCATACGAATTTTACATTCTATCTCTATGTCAACGAACTGAAACTATTTTTGCTTTTCAATTTTTTGTTTTAGTAGCTTTGAAAACAAACAATCCAGCGATAATATGCAAACATTTTTATGACTAAAAATAAACAACTGCCCACAATTAATTTGCCACTTTTACGCCTCGCAGCGTTAAGAGTAGACAGCAGACATATATCGCACTTTAATAATTTATTTCTGTACTTATTGGCCCAAGAATGGCATCATTCGCACCTCGAGTTTCCCCAGATCAGCGGAAATGGTCTTTCCAGTCCCGTCATATTTGTTTCATGGAGAACATTAGCCAGATTTTCAATTTTATTCAGCAGCATTTATTGGGCAATTATATAGGGGAAAAGTAGTTCAAACTTGCTGCTCCCATATTGATTATTTGCCATGAGATTGTCGTGCGTGTTTCGCTCTGTTTCTTGCCGGGCTTATCAGGTTGATTTTCCCACTTTCCCCAAATGGCTCAAAGTCAGCTTAAAGTGCGCACGAACTCCGGATGACCTCGCAAGGGTTGTTTTCCCCCCACAAGCATGTCCGGAAAGTGGCAGTGTGTTCGCCTAGGAGCTCCTGCTGCACCCATTGTAAAACACATCTTGGGGGTTGCAACAGACAGGGGCAATTGTCTGGATTTCCGACACGACCTGCCCCCCACTTCCGCCCTCTTTCTGTCACGGATCCTGGGGGCCAAAAGACTCTCGTCACCAGCAAATATTATGGTGCAAACAGGCGACAAGAATCTCTGCAGTATCTTGCACAGTATGACTCGCATAACTCGAACAAATTTTCAATTAAATGTTGATTTTATTTATCCATATATAAATAAATTAAAATTTAAGGTCGATTTAAAAAATTACCTGGAATTAGACCGATATATTATTCCCTTATTAAGCAGAAGATATCTCCCCAAATGAAATTTATTTGAACAGATTCTCATTCTTCTGTAGTTATCCAAATCTCATTCTTCTCAGAATGAAGCGAATATTTACCCTTCAGACTGGACTAATTTTGTTTACGTATTACTTATTGATGTGGCTTTATTTATGGCCTCAATAAAAAGCGGCCAATGGAACGATTATGACCCGAGAGAAGTACTTAAAATTATTGGCCGCCATCCAAACAGACTCTTCATATCTCAATTTTAATTATGCCAGTGACAGTTGCGTTCACTTTTTCCCAGCACTATTCAATTGTATATGGGTCATGGAAGTCTGGATATTTATAGATCGGTGTTGTCTTCTTTCAGATGCCTTCACGGATTATTTCTCCGACTATGAGTGCAACCAGCCGCTCCTGGAAAGAGCGGTGCTCACGGCTACATCATCGCTGTCGGAACGAGGACCAGAGAAAGCACGTTTGAATGGTGAGTAATAATGTATATTATTATATATTTATTTCGTTCTTGTTTTTGTTAGTTCAGTTGCTATATTATATATTTCAGTTGTTATATTAGCAATTATATTTTTTTAATGCTGCCCCAAAATTTATTAAATTATGCCTTTCAGTTTAATAGGAATTATGTATTTTAATCCCTTCCTAATGATCTCTGTTCAAATATTTAGAGCTGTTACATTTTTATTTCTCTCATTTTATATAGTTTAAAAGTTAGATAATGAAAGATAAAATTAAAGCCCAATATTTGTTTCTTGTAGTTTTCAAGTCGAAGTTATAAGCTGGAACACAGCTGATTTTTTTAAAATAGTATTTTTGTCAGTATATTTGGTTGGCGTTATCGCCAGTAGATTTTTACCCTTTCCACTTGCGGCCATACTGCAGAGAAGAAGCAGCAGCGAATTAGCAATAACATTACCCAGCGAAAACGCCCTGAAAACAATGAGTGTTACGGCAATTAGATAGTTTTTATTTGCACAAAGATGAGCAGACACATCTGCACCCGTTGGGCCTTTGACCTGTCCAGCTGGTCACCCACACTGCCCCAACTGAGCCAGGCGGTGGCTCTCGTTCAGCCTGAGGAACGCGTGCGTCTCATGAAGTTTCACTTTATCGATGACTTTCTGTCCTCGCTAATTGGTCGTCTATTGATGCGGAAATATGTGAGCACATGCACCGGATTGGCCCACCACCAAGTGCAGTTTGCTCGGGATGTGAGGGGCAAGCCCTACTGGGTGAAGCAGGAGGATTGCGAGGCGCCGCCGCTCAGCTTCAATGTCTCCCACCAGGGAAACTTGGTTCTGCTGGCCGGTATTACTAGCGAAAGTCAAGATCCCGACTTTGGCATTGGCACGGATGTCATGAAGATCGAGTACAGCGGGGGCAAGTCCCTGCCGGAATTCTTTCGGCTGATGCGGACCAAGTTTTCGGAACACGAATGGAGGTACATTGGAAGACCCCAGCACAACGAGCGGTCACAACTAAAGGCTTTCATGCGGCACTGGTGCTTGAAGGAGGCCTATGTCAAGGAGCTGGGAGTGGGCATTACTGTGGACCTGCAGAAGATCAGCTTCTCCGTGGACACCACCCATAACCTGGGGGAAGAGGTTTCTCCCCTCATTGGCACCACCCTGCGTTGTAACGACAAGCCCATGGACAACTGGCATTTCGAGGAACACTTGCTGAAGGACGAGTACTGCGCGGCCATTGCATTCCGAAATTGCCAGCCGCAGGAGCATGGCCGATTTAAGATGCTTAAAATTGAAGAACTTCTTGTGAAGAGCCAGGAATCAGAGCTTGAAGAAGTGGTTTCCTACTGCCAAAGGGCTTTAGTTAAGCCGCACAAGCGCTCATAAGAAATACATAATTGTATTTTTCAAGGAAGAGTGTTTTGAATCGACTATATAATGATATTGCATTTATAATAAGATTAACTTCCCGTGAGAAGCAAAGAATGCCTTATAACAAATTTAAAGCATAGGTATTTATTCTTTGGAGACTTTTTGAATTGTGCAAGGAATCAGAGCAGGAGAAAGTGCTGCCCTAGAGCTCAAATTAAGTGATATCCCAAAGCAGACAATTGTTATCCGTAGAATAAACATGCATTTACATTACTATTCCAATAGTTTTGCCCAAAATCGAATGACTTGTAATCCTTGTGTTGTCATGTTACGCGTCGTGCACCCCCAGGACGTGCTTGTTTGCCTGGCACAGGATAAACAAACTCGATGGAACGTACCCGGAAATATGCTTAAAAGGCCATAAACCCAAATTTAGGAACCCGTAATGGGTCTCAGACAGGGGCCAGACATTTGGTTTGGCTTCGAATTTATGCGCCAACAGGATGGGCCCTCCGTAAGGGTAGCTACGACTCTGCTCGTTTGTTTGAATTATTTTTGGCATTCCCGAAAGTTTTATCGATGGGAACGATGGCAGACTGGCTGATTGCACGTTGCCAACGGAGGACAAAGGAAACTTTAATGCGGCAGAAAAGGAATTGGGGAGGGGGTTCCAGTTCTCGTTCCCGGTTCTCCTTCCCCCTTCCCGATGCGAGTATGCAATCCCTGCAGTCCAGCCCAGCTTTCTCACACTATTTTGTCACACCTGCTCACGATTTGGCGCGGTCGGCAATTAAAACAAAGGCAGACGGCCGCGATTGTTTATGCTCAACCATTTGAGAGCTCTCCCATTTTGTGTTGACACCAACTCAACCTCCCGGATTACGAAATCCTTTCTTCGGCAGGGGTTGAATCCCTGAATCCTCTGAAGGACCTCGACCACTTGCAGCTGTCAATCGCAATCGCCCCTAAATTATGGTTTATTAATTGGAAACACCCTCAGGGCAAAATTTGGCAATTCTAAGCCCTCGGGTTGTAGCGAATTAAAGAGCTCAGACCCCTGCTCCCATTTGTTTTCTAGTTTAAGTGCATTTTATTTTGCTTTTGTTTTGGTTTAAAATGTATCATTTTCGTTTTATTGCACCTCATCCCACGACCCTTCACCAAACCCCCAGCTGGCACATCGTGGTCGGCGAAGAACTCGGACTTCGACCAGCGTCTCATTATTGACCTGGGCGTGGTGCGGAACGTGACGCACATCGCCCTGCAAGGACGACCCCATAGCAATGAGTACGTCACCGAGTACACCATTAGCTATGGCATAACCGATCTAGAGTTCGCCGATTACAAAGAACCGGGCGGCAATGTCAAGGTAAACAATCGATCCTGAATACAATTGCGAATGTGTCCCATAATCTTCACACTGGAATGCAATGCTTGTGGTGGTGGTGGTGGTGGGTTTTTGCACAAAAACAAAAAATGTGTCGGTTCAATGATATGTCTATATTAAAGAAGCAACAAGAGTTTCTATCATGTTAAGTAATTATTCCAAAGTGCAACTAAATTTGGCTTATTAAGATCATTCTTGGTGAATTGTCACAATTCAATTGTGATATATAAAATATCAAATAATATTAATAATATAAGAAAGTTCTATAATAATATCTATCCAAAGTGATAGTTTTTCTGTGTGTATATAAACCTTTGTGGCTGAGAAAATTCTTCATCTGCGAAAGCGGATTATCATAGTCACAATCCATTATTATTTTTGCTTGCTTTTGTGCTTGGTTTTTTTATGATTTCCTTTCCTAATTTCATCCCGCATGCATCTGTTATGTGTTTAATTACTACATAGTTCTGTAGCTCACTTCCCTACCCATTCTCTACACTCTGATACTGTGACTAACTAGATTGGTAAATGCACCTTGTGCAGGTAACGCTGCTTGGACACCGGTCGAGAATACATATAACCACTTTCTAACACTCGACCTGGGAGATCCGCGCATGGTGCGCAAGATAGCCACCATGGGACGCATGCACACGGATGAGTTTGTGACGGAGTACATTGTCCAATATTCGGACGATGGCGAGTTCTGGCGCTCGTATGTGAATCCCACAAGCGAGCCGCAGGTACGGTGACTAATCTAGTTTAAGACTCCACTACAACTAAACCCGGTTTAGAGATTAGATAAGGAGGATGATGATCAATGCTTTAAAAACACTAATAACACTACTCGACTCACTAAGCTTAAACTTGTAACTAAATCTGAATATTGCTGTACATCACAGATGTTCAAGGGCAACTCCGATGGCAATTCCATCCACTACAACGTTTTTGAGGTGCCCATCATTGCCCAGTGGGTGAGAATTAATCCCACCAGGTGGCACGATCGCATTTCCATGCGAGTTGAACTCTACGGTTGCGATTACAGTAAGTCGTTATAATAAATGAAATGTTAACAAATATACTCAGCTCTTAAAATTTAAATTGTTACATGCAGTCTCTGAGAACCTGTACTTCAACGGCACGGGGCTGGTGCGTTACGATCTGAGGCGGGATCCTGTTGCCTCCACCAAGGAATCCATCCGTTTCCGTTTCAAGACCGCCTTCGCCAACGGAGTGATGATGTATTCGCGCGGCACCCAGGGAGACTACTACGCTCTGCAACTGAAGGACAACAAAATGGTGCTGAATCTCGATCTGGGATCCCGCGTGATGACCTCCCTGTCGGTGGGTAGTCTGCTGGATGATAATGTGTGGCACGACGTGGTTATCTCCAGGAACCATCGTGATATCATCTTCTCGGTGGATCGTGTCATCGTTAGGGGACGCATTAATGGAGAGTTTAGTCGATTGAATCTCAACCGGGAATTATATCTGGGCGGTGTGCCCAATGTCCAAGAGGGTTTGATTGTCCAGCAAAATTTCTCCGGCTGTCTGGAGAACATTTACTTTAATTCCACCAACTTTATTCGTGGCATGAAGGACAGCTACGAGTTGGGCGAGGCCTATCTGTTCCAGAAGGTGAACACAATTTACGCGTGTCCATCGCCTCCAATTTATCCGGTAACCTTCACTACCCGCGGATCTTTTGTTCGTCTGAAGGGTTACGAGAACTCGCAGCGCCTAAATGTTTCTTTCTACTTCCGAACCTACGAGGAGACGGGTGTGATGCTGCACCACGACTTCTATTCCGGCGGCTACATCAAAGTTTTCCTGGAGTTTGGCAAAGTCAAGATCGATTTGAAGGCCAAGGATAGACCGCGTATCATCCTGGACAACTACGATGAACAATTCAACGACGGAAAGTGGCATTCGTTTGTGATCTCCATCGAGCGGAATCGTTTGATTCTGAACATTGACCAGCGCCCGATGACCACGACCAAGAACCTGCAGATTGCTACGGGAGCTCAGTATTACATAGCCGGAGGCAAGGATAAAAATGGTTTTGTGGGCTGCATGCGTCTGATTTCGGTGGATGGCAACTACAAGCTACCCCAGGACTGGGTAAAGGGCGAAGAGGTTTGCTGCGGAGACGAGGTCGTGGTGGATGCATGCCAGATGATCGATCGCTGCAACCCGAATCCCTGCCAGCATAAGGGCGTGTGCCATCAGAACTCGATGGAGTTCTTCTGCGACTGTGCGCATACAGGATATGCGGGAGCCGTTTGCCATACTTGTGAGTGTCTTTTATTTTAGTTTATGAAATAGTAATTTATTTTATTTCTTTTAGCCAACAATCCATTGTCTTGCCAGGCGCTAAAGAATGTCCAGCATGTGCAGCAGCGTGTCAATCTGAATCTCGATGTGGATGGCAGTGGCCCTCTTGAGCCTTTCCCAGTTACGTGCGAGTTTTATTGTAAGTGGACGTATTCTGTATTTTTAAAAATCCTCCATTTAATTTTCTTTTCTATTTTAAATATTAAATAATGAAATGTAACTTTAGAAGTTAATCAATCAAAGTTTCAAGTTGTTACCTTACTAACTTGGCCTTTAACTGAAATATTCTTGACTTTGATTGATGGTATATTGTGAAACTTTTCTAGCGGATGGCCGTGTTATCACTACCCTCAGCCATAGCCAGGAGCACACCACCACTGTGGATGGCTTCCAGGAGCCGGGTTCTTTTGAACAGTCCATCATGTACGATGCCAATCAACTGCAAATCGAAGCTCTGCTGAATCGCTCTCATAACTGCTGGCAGCGTCTGAGCTACTCGTGCCGCTCTTCTCGCCTCTTTAACTCACCTTGTAAGTGGACGCTGTTCTCTTCCCAGAGTAAATTTTTATTAATAACCCATTTCCCCTGTTACAGCTGAGGCTGGAAACTTCCGTCCCTTCTCCTGGTGGATCTCGCGCCACAACCAACCCATGGACTACTGGGCCGGTGCTCTTCCAGGGTCTCGTAAGTGCGAGTGTGGAATCCTGGGTAAGTGCCACGATCCCACCAAGTGGTGTAATTGCGACTCTAACAGCTTGGAGTGGATGGAGGATGGCGGTGATATTCGTGAGAAGGAATACCTCCCAGTGCGAGCAGTGAAATTTGGCGATACTGGCACCCCGCTGGATGAAAAAATCGGCCGCTATACCCTAGGCCCGCTGCGCTGCGAGGGCGATGACCTTTTCAGCAACGTGGTGACTTTCCGGATCGCTGATGCATCCATTAATCTGCCACCCTTCGACATGGGTCACTCTGGAGATATTTATTTGGAATTCCGCACCACTCAGGAGAACTCGGTGCTCTTCCATGCCACCGGACCCACGGACTACATTAAGCTGAGTCTGATTGGCGGCAACAAGCTGCAGTTCCAGTACCAGGCGGGCAGTGGTCCCCTGGGTGTGAATGTAGGCACCAGTTATCACCTAAACGACAACAATTGGCACACTGTGAGTGTGGAGCGCAACAGGAAGGAGGCTCGTCTGGTGGTGGATGGATCCATTAAGGCTGAGGTGCGAGAGCCGCCGGGTCCAGTGCGTGCCCTTCACTTGACTTCGGATCTGGTGATTGGTGCCACCACAGAGTACCGCGACGGATATGTGGGCTGCATTCGTGCTTTGTTGCTCAACGGAAAGATGGTCGACCTGAAGGATTACTCCAAGAGGGGATTGTATGGCATCAGCACTGGCTGCGTGGGTCGCTGTGAGTCGAGTCCTTGTCTCAATAACGGCACATGTATTGAGCGTTACGATGGCTACAGCTGCGATTGCCGTTGGAGCGCATTCAAGGGACCAATTTGCGCAGATGGTGGGTAGCTGGAGGCCCCGGTGATTGTATTTGGTTTGATTTGCATTTACTTGTTGCAGAGATTGGCGTCAACTTGCGCTCCAGTTCGATTATCCGCTACGAGTTTGAGGGTTCCTTCCGCTCCACAATTGCTGAGAACATTCGCGTAGGCTTCACCACCACCATTCCCAAGGGTTTCCTTTTAGGCTTCTCTTCCAACTTAACCGGAGAATATCTGACTATTCAGATTTCGAATTCGGGTAAATATAACTTTTAAATTGCAGAAATTCCTGGTATTCATTGAACCCCCTACCTTCCAGGTCACTTGCGTTGCGTGTTTGACTTTGGCTTTGAGCGGCAGGAAATCATTTTCCCCAAGAAACACTTTGGGTTGGGCCAGTATCACGACATGCACTTCATGCGCAAGAACGGTGGCTCCACAGTCGTCCTTAAGGTGGATAATTACGAGCCAGTGGAGTACAATTTCGATATCAAGGCCTCAGCCGATGCTCAGTTCAACAACATTCAGTACATGTACATTGGCAAGAATGAGTCCATGACAGATGGCTTTGTTGGTTGTGTGTCCCGTGTACAGTTCGATGATATTTATCCACTGAAGCTAATGTTCCAGCAAAATCCCCCAAGAATGTCAAATCGCTGGGCAGTAAGTTTTCTATAATTAATAAAATGTTTTAGGTATTCCTACAAGTTAGCTTCTCCTGCAGCTCAATTGACGGAGGACTTCTGTGGTGTAGAGCCTGTGACGCATCCACCCATCGAGATTGAGACTAGGCCGCCGCCATTGGTGGACGAGGAAAAACTGCGCAAGGCATACAACGAAGTGGACTCTGTGCTACTGGCATGTAAGTTGAGGCTTGCTCTTGTAGGTTAATCAAAAATAAATCATTTAATTCGATCCCTTAGGCTTGCTAGTGATTCTCTTCCTGTTGCTGATCCTAATGTTCTTCCTCATCGGTCGCTACTTGCACCGGCACAAAGGCGACTATTTGACGCACGAGGATCACGGCGCCGACGGTGCCGACGATCCGGATGACGCTGTCCTTCACTCAACCACTGGCCATCAAGTTAGGAAGAGAACAGAGATCTTTATCTAAGCCTGTCGCCACAAATATGCACACAAATCGTTTTTAAATCGCCTTAGACGCGCAACAGCGACGACTCAGACTCACCAAGAAGGAAAAAAAGAAATCAACATAAAAATCAAACGAACCGGAAAAGGCTCACAACGTATTACAGACACAGAACCTATTTAGACTTTTCCAAGCACTGCCAATTGTTTTGCGCAAGTGAACGCTACGTAATTGATTTTGAAATTGGTTGGCTGACTTTTGCTCTTTGTTTGCTTTAGCTTGTCCTTTTTTTGGTTCTGTCTGACGGCATTTTACTTTATTTTATTTTCGAACGCTCTCAATAGTCACCGAAAACCGTCCATTTTTAGTTAATTTTATGAACACATTTTGTTTGTTTGCGGAATTAAGTTAAAAACTTGTATTTTAAGTTGCTACCCCGACCGAAAGCAATATCGTGCGAGTAACATAAAGACGAACATTCCATTATTTTTAATACGTTTCTCTCGCTACGGATAATTCTGTCTTCTAATTTACACACACACAAAAGGAACATAAGAATCATTTTGTGGCTAAACAAAATCGGCTACTTTAGTAACACAAATCATGAAAAAAGCAAATTGTATTTTTGGAAAATACATTTTGTATGTCTTGACTTGAAATTTGCAAATATACATTATTAGTATGTGTATATAGCTATATATAAATATATATGTATAATTACGAAAAAAGAGACAATGAAACATTAAAATTTTTAACTTTCAATAAAAGAAAACTACAAATAATTAAAAGGTTTCGTTTAACTCACCGTCCTGGAGAACTCCATGGAAACTACTGCCTGGAGGATATTCAGTCTCTTAAAGTTTATTCAATATAATTTTGTATACTAAAATATATATATATATGTGTGTGTGTATGTATAAGTATATAGGCTATTCCAAATATTAATAATCTGCATGTTTTTGATTTCCTTTGTAAAGTTAATCGTAACAATATAGGTTAACGCTAATTTTGATTACTACGGTTTTTGGTTTGTTATTTTGTTTGCTGTCTTCTCTACTATATAGTATGTACTGGAATATCTTGTTGGTTTGCCATGAAGCACATGTATAAATAATATTGTTATTATCTAACAACAGTCTAAGTCACATGTAACTCGTTAAAGGTAATATAACACTGGGTGGGTTTGCACAATCCACAATCCATTATCCATAATCATTATTAAGTATACGCCTCGTTGTTCCATAACTAATCTACACGCGTGTGCATGTTCCCAGTGGACCAAAATACTATAGTAAAAGAAAACTATCTCCAAATCTTCTAAAACTAAAATTGATTGCTAGAGATAGCATCAAAGGCTTAAAAACGATCCATTTTCAAATTGATTTTGGATCTCAAAAGACAGTCGTTGCTCGAATTTGATCCACTGGGTATATCGTTGTGTCTATGGGCTACACCCGTGTCTACTCGTATTCGTATTTTGGGACTCCCAAAGGATTGGATTTCACTACATTGTACCTAGGTTCAACTATGGGTCAACATCGGTCAACGTTTCTAAATGGAAGATTACTATTTGTCGTATTGATTATGTACCATGGTTAGCTGATAAGTACGTGTATCGATATGCTCGCCGTGGAGTCACTGCGTCCCCAAACAACAAAAACAGCTATCACAAATGGTAAATGAAAATACAAAAACACTACAGGAATACAGGATATTCCGCACTTACTGCCAGCAAGTGCCGCTATTGTCCACCACATATCATCAGAGCCCAGAATTGCCCTTAGTTGTGCACGTTGCCGCTGGCCAGCATTCGGTAGCGGTTGAGCAGCTGCACCGCCGCGTCCTGCATGGGCTGGATCTTGCCATGCCGCGCCTCGTAGACGTCCAGCAGGATCCGCTCTCACAAAACCGTGCAGACGACAAAGAGCAGCGACACGAGGCACAGCATGGCCACAATATCCCGATGCAGTTTCCTGTCCCGATGGAATGGTCGCGTGGTATAACACTCACGACGCGCCTGTCGCAGCAGCCAAACGGGCACAAAAAGCTGCAGCAGATCCGGCACCATGAATCCTATGTCCCGGACTATCTGGTGGGCATATCCCTCGCCACGCACCACATTCATAAAGAACTGGTCAAAGCTGCTGGCCAGAATGTGCAGCAGGGCGATGCCAACGATGCAGAATACCTTCTTTGGGGTAACCACGTTAGTGGCGTTGGCCAGGTGCATCACCAGCACGGTGGAGAAAAGCTCGGTCACCTGGAAAGATAGGAAAAGCCTCTCTAAGTATTTAATTTTATTTTTTGACTCTAAATAGCAATTGCCATTTTTCTTGCTGCATAGGCTCTCTGTATATTTATAGCCACCAGCCATCAGTCCTTCCGTATTTTCAAATTTTCCGGACCTCCCTCTCCCGCACTCGCTCATTAACGGGGCTAAACTTTTAAGTTTAAACTTTGGTTGGATGGATGGATTTGCTCTTGAAACTTACTACCCTGCCGTGCTTCTATTTCCATGACCAGAGCTATATAGCTATCTGGCCAACTAGGATTGGACGGTCTAGTGCGGGACAAGTGCGAAAATTGTGCGGGAAAGTGTTCGAATTGAAGCGCATATTGTGCAAGTTTGGAGCGCCCTCGCGCAGGACGAACTTTGCCAATAAATTATAGATGGCCCTAACTGGTTTAGGGCACATATGACGGCACGTTGCTGCGATATTTGACTTTGACTTGTAAGTTTTAGGTTGCATGTTAAGAGTTACACATGCGAAAACATTAGCATAATAATATTAATACTTAAATCTCACCGAATGGTATTTAATATAATTTTGAAGCAACAATTCTCCCTCTAATGCTTTAAATAAAAGTTTATTTAATTAATTTTAATGAGATAAGTAAGCTTGTTTCAGTAGCCTTTAAGTTTTGCCAACTATTATAAAGAAATCTCTCTCTCAGGACATATAATTTATTCCCTTTACGCTATTTTCTTTCAGTATATTGGCTGTCCACTCACCGTAAAGAAGAGCTGGTGATTCCACTGATTGTAGTAGTCATCGTTGTAGTAGTTGATGTACGCCCACCAGGCATAGTAGTGCGAGAAGATGGATAGCAGGAAGAGCAGGAGCATCGAGTACCGCACCCGCTGCTGCAGGATCAGGGCGATTAGCCGCTTGATGCACTCGTAGAGGGCAATCACGGCAAACACGGTCAGGATCCACATCTTAAAGCTGTTGGGAGTGGCGTTGAAGTACATATGCTTGTAGGCGGCCACTCCGGACTCGTAGGGTCCCTTGAACACGGTGTCCCAACAGGAGCAGGTGCAGAAGTGCCTGTCCACGTAGCGGGCATAGTTCTCCCAGAAGTACCACAAGATGACGATGTGGGCCGGCGGTATGAGGGCGGGGGCCAGCGAGCCGCAGGCAGTGGGCAGCCATGTAATGTCGAACATCTTACAAATACTGATAAGGATACTCCGATAATGATATGTCGTTTGCTCGCTTCGTGCTTGTATTTCTTTCTATTTTTAAAATTCGCCAATCATCACGTTCCAGTCTGAAAAGGGAGAAGTAGAAAAATGTCAGTTGGGCAATAATTTAATAAGGTCATAAACAATTTTAATTGAGTATTCCAAGTAAATAAGCTTATGAGTGAAAAAGGTAATATGCAAATGAAAGCAAAAATGGCCATAAACAGGTCAGGATGCACAATTAAATGACATTTTTAATGAGCCAGCGAAACAATTTGCAAGTTTCAATAATAGACCTCAAGTTGATTAACAATTTTATCGCTTGACAATACTAACCTAACCAAGTAATATATATCATTGCTTACTATACAACATATAGTATTTAATCTTAATATCAATAACATTTTTATAGTGAAAATGGTAACTAATATATGTGATTCCCCCCTACAAGATATCAATAAAGCAGGAATTTTACACCTCTCTGTGTGACATTGTTTAATTTATTGACCAATTAAGGGTCATTAGTAATCAAGTAAATTATTCCAACTTATTAAACCGTAAAACAATTAACAAAGTAATGGATTTTCCACCAAAACGGACATTGCATTGTCCCCGTAAAATATTCATCATTAAAATACATGTGATTTTAGTATAAATTAATCAAATTATTCTTTGTCATCAAATTAATATTCATTGTAAATCGGTTGTATTTATATGTTACAGTTAGGTCACGTGAATAATTTGCATCTTTTGATACTCACAAAAGAAGCTTTCATCATTTATCATCATTTCCCCCCGCCAATTGTGTAATTATCTCCAAGTGCGGATGGAAAATATTTGTTATGCAATAGATACAACAAAGACTAAACAAAATCCCATCAAAAGTATTGAGTAAACAATAAATGCAATTTTTCTCGAAACTTAGAAATCACTTGAAATGAATTACCATTGAAAAGGAAATGTTTGGCCGATCGGTTCTCGACATCTTTATAAATATTTCAAAATTTTTCGTTTTGAGCCAACTACATGGTATTTTTGTTTTCCACAGTTATGAAAATAAACAAAACGATGGCCAGAAAATATATTCCGCACTCTTGGCAGTACAACACGGCCGAGTGTTTTTTATTTAAATTAAACCAGAGAAGGCCTGCCAGTTGACGCATTGCCATGGCTCTTCGTGGATTCGCACGTAAATTTGCATGCAACTGTGAATGCAACTGCAGCACCGGCGAGTGACCGACTGAATGTCATCCCATCCACGGGCACACTTGTGTGCCCAAAAATGATGCAATTATAAATTCATGTGCTGCAGGAAGGGGGCCAAGGGGTGGATGGGCCTACTCTACGCACGGTGAATGGCATTCCAAGCGGTGGCACGGCTGCCAAAAAAGAAAAGAAAATCGAAAAGCAAAGCGAACGGTCATTAGTGCGGACACGAAACCGGCCTCTCAATGGGCATCTGAATGGGTACGACGGGAATGGGAATATTCTGGTATGGCGTTGCCTCTGGGAAAGCCACCAACTGCAAATGAGACAACAATGATAGGTGCCAGCAACAAATAAGGACGAATTTCGGAACCAAAGCTGGGAATACCCTTGCCAAATCCTGTTTAACCTGTCAGGATAATTAGGAAATTATAAACACGGCCTGTAGAAAGTCTGAGAACCCTTAGTGGTTTCGCTGATAATATTATAAATCAATAGATGATCTTTAATAAGCTGTGATACAATAGATTTCCTATGGTATAATATTCTATATGATGATATATAGTTAGTCCATACTACCTATGCTTCCGGATACTAATAATACCCCCTTAGAAAGGGTGCTAGTACAGCAAATGTACAAGTGTATTTCGGTCTGTTTCTGTTTAACTTTTCAGGATAATTGGAAATTATAAAACACGGCCTGTAGAAAGTCTGAGAACCTTTACTTGTTCCGTTGACAATATTATAAATCAATAGATGATCTTTAATAAGCTGTGATACAATAGATTTCCTATGGTATAATATTCTATATGAAGATATACATAGGTATACCTATGCTTTCGAATACTAATAATACCCCCTAGAAAGGGTGCTAGTACAGCAAATGTACAAGTGTATTTCGGTCTGTTCGGCTACCCCTCAACTTAATTAAAACATCGCCCTGCAAGGTGCAGCTGCCAGCGGAAAACTATTTCGATTTGTTTTGATTGCCGCTGGTGTTCGGCTCTCAGACTTGTTCTTGTTGCGCCACATCGCCCTATAAAAACCAGCCAAGCCGAGCCAAATCAACACAGAAAACAATAAAACACCGCCAAATGGAAACGAACGTTTACAATTGACGTCACGCTGGAAATCATAAACATTGGTACCGAAAACTTAGCTGAGCATAAGATTCAACCCGTTGCAGCATGCGATATGAATTTCAAATCGAGAACGGAACATTGGAGAAATCGTATAAACAATACCCAGAGCTCTCTGCCACTGAAGTAGAATTAATGCAGGTCCATTTCTACTCCAAAAATGACCCACAAAATGTAATACAGAGTCAGAATCGATTCTGGAGGAATCGATGATGTGAGGAAGACCCCTAATTTGTCAAAGGCACAGCAGCTCATGCGGAAGGAGCTAACTTTCAGTTCCTATTAAATCAATCTGCATTTGGGTCAGGACAGGCAAGGACACAACGAATTAAATTTATTCAGCGGGGGAATTCATTTCCACTCAAGTTCCTGAAAGTTTACCATTATTTTTTGTTTAAATTTATTTGTACAGCTGCAAGTGGTTTATGAATCCAAATTGTAATTCATTTATTGGTAAAGTTTAAATTTTATGCGGAGCAATGTAAAGAAAAATAAATGTTAGTGTAAACTAAAATGTTCTAGGAAATGTATATATTAATTAATATATATTTATTCAATACAACTCTCTGACTGAGAGATATTTAAACTTGAGCCTTTACCACAAGAGTTAACATATGTTTGAAAAGTGAAGGAAACACTTGCTACTCAGTCGGAGTATTATCCCGGATAGTTGCCCCTAACGAATCGCGTGCACAGTCGTCTGAAAGACTGTGTGTGTAAACAACACCTCAGGCAATGGGAACAACAATAAAAAAAACAACAACAAGAGCACTAGGACAAAACAAGGAGCACAACAACCACATCAACTCGACATTGGTGTGAGTGACGGTAAAGCTGTCAACAGCCGTCGCGTCGTCACTTGAGCTGCATTGTTGTACAAGTATTTGTCGCACGGGCAACGCGTCGTATGAGTAATGTGTGAGTGACGGCGTAGATTGGTGTGTTTGGGATGGGAACTGGGAATGGGAGTATGGAAATTGGAGGCGGGAAATCCCTCCCGCCAGGCGAGACGAGACCAGTCCGTGCAGTCGAGTGGCCTTCTTTTGCATGCTCATTTGTGTCCCTTTCAATTGTCATTCGGGTTGCTTTTTCGTTGCTGGCATTTGGTTGGAGTATCCAGAGTACGCCAGACACTTTGTCTGCGAGTCGTGAGAGAGTCGTAAGAGTTATGGAAATGAGATCCGGATTGGATCTGAGGAATAAATTTCAGTCAGACACACACATGACTCTAATAGCCTGTGCAATCGTTGCAGGTGATAAACGAACTAGCGATGAGCATGCAAGCAAGTCGATGGCTGTTAACACGCGACACTTAAACTCGAAGTCGAAGTCGTGCTCTTATCTCCGTGGATACATAAACACATGAGCATATACACGAGCATTAATAATGCACAGTGAGAAAACAGGCACTAGAATCAAGCTAATAAGCTTGATTAGTAAGATGTCTTCTGTCTAAATAAAAAGGTAACTACTAAGATCTTTGCCTTAACTTTCTCCAGAGAATGTAATTTTAGTGTTTAAGGTTTTATTCCTTTTGTAGCTGTCACTTTCCTCATTTATATCTTATATTCCTCATTATATATTTCTAATTCTCTTAAAATATTTGTCTCAGTGTCTGCCACTTTCGGGAGTGTACATATCTTTAAACCTCCCCATAAACGATGTGGGCGTCTGGCTGGCTTTGCACTGAGATAAATCGCCAGCAATAACATTGCCTATATGACGTTTGTTTAGTCAATATTTGGTTGGGCATCCGGCTGGGTACAAATATAATCAAATCGAACGAAATGCAATTACAACCACACACAAACACACAGACACAGATGGAGGAGCACCATTATAAATAGAGCCTCAAGAGGAGTTTCCGGTGCGGTAAAAAAACGTGGAAAATCGAAATACAATTAGGCGAAGCCCCTAGAATGTGTACATAAAAGCGAACCGAACCTAATGCGCGGCAGTTGGGAGTTACTTGGTTGGGGTTGGATTCGCTTCGCTTCCCCGGGATGCTGTCCCTAATGCCGTTCCTTTCCCCTTATAACGCCGGCTTCCCTGCGTTCTTCCTCGCCTTACCGGGCAGCGGGAAATTCACTTTTCCACAATATGTATACGGCTTATATACAGCTTTGTTTAAACAAATCCGTTTGGGTGTTTATTTTGTTTGGAAAAGAAGAAAAAAAGAGAAGACTTTGTGGGAACAACAACCGCGGGCAGGTCGTGAAAAACGCGACTGAAATTATTTGTTATGCTGCGTGTGAAATTTCTGCTCTTGTCTTTGGCAGCCGGCGCCGGCGTCGTTGTCTGGCCAATGTTTTCTAACAAGAAAATAGGGGGAAAGCTCTCAGCTGATGAGAGTTTTCCTTGCTGTCTCGCCAGCCGTATGTGTATGTCGCGCACTGTAGCCAGCATACGCTCTCTCACTCGTTCTCTCTCTCTTGCTGCGCTCTCTCGGCGGTAAGGTGCGCTGAAAATACTGGGAAATGCATGCGGCTTCTTGGGCAGCACATTAAGTATACGCACCGTGGCCGCTCATTGCATTATCAGCTGCAATGGACTCACGTGGATCATTCACACACATACAATATAAATTGCATTTTATATACTTACATCGAAACTATTCTATGCACCTGTTGTTGGTGCTTATTAATATATATTTAACGATTTAAAACACCGAATGGTTTGTAATTTTCGTAATTTTCGCACATTTATTTCGAGCTGTTGGGCTTTTCTTTGTCTTTGTTTGTTTTATAACATTACCACAAATACAAAAACATACGTACATACTTGTCAAACAATTACTGAGTTAAACTAATTGAAATACAAGCAGCTTAAGTGAAACACATACAATGCACACAGAAACTTGCTGTCAAAGTGCATCTTAAATATGCTAATTAAATGGTTTCCCCCGCTTCGCGCTGTTGTTTTCCCCTCCCTCCCCCTTGTTTTGATATTTTTCTGCAATTTTATTTTGAGCACAATTGCAAACAGCAGAGGCCATTGTTCGTTCACATAGCGAAGGAAGTACATAAGTTTTGTCCCAACAATGGCTTAAATTTGTAGTCTAGTAATTAAAATGCTGGCCGAGACTTATTCATCTGCCGCTGTCATTGTTCTCGGCGGGCCCATTGTGACCAGATATCCCCGATAACTATATACTATACACGGATATACATATGTACATATATAAAATGATACGGCTAGGTAAGTGTATCAAGTATCAAGAGTATAAATTCGTTATATATCGCTCCACTGGCATTATCCATTTAGCCATTATCCTTACAGGTACAAGTACTCGATGACTTTATCAAAGTCGTGTTTTGCTTAGCTCGGCTTTAGAGTAGACATTGTATACAATCTAAAGTAATACCTATAAGATACACAGAACCATTTCGGGTAGACATTGAGATGTAAACGCAATTATTTTAATTTATCCAACATTTACAATAGCCTGGAATAATCTTTATTCGGTGTAAGCTGCCATCACAATACAATTGAAGTACAAGGAGCCCGCAATTCGTTTGATTGTGTTTTCCCCATTATTCAGATACAATGGAAGCAATCTGCGAATGCCATTCGAGTGTGCCTAGATCTGGTTGACTTTCCCTGAAATTATGTATAATTTTCCTATCGAATAACCCTGCTGGTCTCCAAATCCCGCACTCCACTCGTTCTTTGTACTAATTTTGACCCTGCTAGGCCTACGGATAATTGGCCTCCCATTAAACCACATGTCACATGTATCGACAATTCGTTCTCTCATCTCTCTGCCTAAACATCCTGTAAGCTCATTATATATATGTTTACTATCACTAGTGTGGTCTCCATGTCCTTGTCCAACTGCTTCATCTCTGTGTATTATTTTCATTTCCATTGAAGGTTCTTCAATGGCACTGCATTCAGCCCCTGAACAATGCCATTGGTCATCTGTTATTAGAGAGTGGAATCACTTTGCCCCAGTCCCAGTGTCTGATTTCGGTTGTCTGGCTTACCAAGTACTATTTTGTTGGCTTAGTTCAACAATAAAGACCCTATTACATTGCATCTCATAATTAGTAAGTAGTCTCATACATAATTTACCAAATTAATGAGAATGTTTCACAGAAAGGTTATTTGTCAAACAGGATTTAAAAGGGTTTTACATTACATTATTTGGTAACATGTAATTACTTATGGGAGTACTTTTAATTTTTAAAATTATATTGAATAATGGAACAAATTAAAAGCCTTGATTGTATTATAGAAAATTTTCAGCTAAGCAAAATGATGGGCAATTATTACAAATAAATAAAATGTAAAGGAATACATAAATGTAACCCTAGCTCCGGTCCACTCTATGGGATTTTTAGTTCCTAAAAGTAATTAAAGGTCTCCTTGTTTTTCAGCAGCCTCTTCAAAACTTACTCTGCTCCATGACACTGCTCACCGAATTGTTGATCTCGGCCACCACAACGATCTCCTCGTTCTCCTCCGTCTCCTCGGGCACCATCATCAGGTTGTTGTTCATCAAGTAGGTCTCCATGCGATGATCACCCTCACCTGCGGCACCACCCGTGGTCGAAGTGCGTAGCCTGTGGGTGAAGGAAGACCTCGATCGGGTCATGTATGATGATCTGGTGGTGGAAACTCTTCTGAGGATGCCGCGACCATAGAAAAGCATTCGCACTTCTACACGAAACCGAGGATGAGTAGCTGCGTACAGGTACGGGTCCACGCAGGCAGCCGTCTTGCAAAAGAGTGCCGGTATCATAGATCCCAGGGGGTTATGTGCCGCTCCAGGCCAAAGACACCCATCATAGCAACAATAGCGTAGGGCGACCACGCAAGGAACCACAATCCTATAATGGCGGCCACAATGAAGGCCAGCTTCTGCTCCGTCTTGGCCTTATCCTTGTTCGACTGAATTCGGCTGGCCGTGAAGACCACCTTCAGGATGTAGAAGTAGGAGTAACGATGGTGGTCAGTGGGATGGCGTAAGCTGCTACGAAAAACAACGCCATAAAGATGCGGGCCGGCGTCTCCTTGTTCAAGTAGTCAAAGCTGCAGGTAGTTAGGAAACCTTCGGGCACATAAACCGACAGACCGATGTCCAGAGCCGGCATCACGGCGAACAGGAAGCTGTAGCACCAGATCAGCAGGATAATCAGGTAGGAGCGCAGGCGGGAGCAGCGTCTCAGAGGTTGCAGTGGATGCACCACCACATTGTACCGGTCCAAAGCGATGGCGGTGAGTGTTCCAATGGCGCAGGTGCCACTCAGACCGCCAACAAATCCGTACAGGCGGCAGGCTACGGGTAAGAGATTCAGTTAGTTTTGCTTTTGTCATCTCCATTTTTGATTTTTAAACACAATACAGAGAGAAAAATTATAATAAATTCAAAGTAACTTACAAAAATTCTAAATACTAGTACTTTAAGAAGCAAATTTGGTTAATGAACAAGATTTGTATCCTTCTTATTTATGACTTTTACAACAAGATATGCTTCTTTTCTCTAGTGAGCCCCAGACTGAAGAGTAAGCCACTCACCTGCATCTCCCAGGGCCGGTCCCTCCTTGATGTTGTTGTATATGGCAATCGGACATTTGATGAGCATCAGAAAGTCACAGATGGCCAGGTTCATCACCAGAATATTGGCCGGAGTTCGCAGCGATTTGCGATTGGCGAACATGAAGATGACGAATGCATTGCCCACGCATCCCACCACCGAGATGAGGCAGTACAAGGCAGCCATGACCAGAAAAGTGCTCGAACGCGGTGGCTCGAATTGCAGCCAAAAAGGATTCACCTTCGCTATGTAGCTCAGATCGTATTTGTCACGGTAGTGGATGTAGCCAGGATATGAACTGTAATTACTGCAGCAAAGGTTTAATTAATGGTTGTAGGTATAACTTTATCTACTTTATCTACCACAGTGCGTATACTTAATATTTGGCTTGCTTTCCTATTTAAATGATAAATTGAATATGTATATTTCGATGTATTCATTACCTATTATGTATAAATCTATACTAAATGCTATTCAAATAGTTCTAAGCCACACCCATAACCCTCCCCTTTCCAGTCACTTTGAGCGCATTATGAATTCTAAGCAAGTTAGTTGAATATGCAACCACTAGAAAATTAAGCTGAGCTTATCGCGATGACTTGTGGGGGTTGTCAGGGGCATGAGAATGTGCGTTATCTGGGGATGTGGGCATGGGAATGCATAACCCCTTACCTCAGTGCCGTGGAGACGCTGTCATTCACGTGCTTGTCGTGGTCTTTACCCACATTCACCGCCGTGGAGGCCGTCGAGGTGGTCCCAGCCGTCGTGGCTGTGCTGGCCGTGCTGCCGTCGCTCGAGTTGGCCAGAATCTCGGAGAGGGAAAGGGCTCCGGTTAGCCAAAAGCTGCTGCTGCCAGCCGCATCCGTCGTCAGTGTGGGCAGGGTCGACAGGATGATGGTATCCATGTCTGCGCTTTGGTGTTTTTTTTTTTTTTTTTTTTTTTGGGTCCAAACCAAAGTTTAGGAGCTTCCAAGCCAAACGGCAACTGGAACGTGCCCGCAGAGGTGGACGCGTAAAGTGCGCTTATTTGCTGGCCGCATTTGGCAAGGATGCGGTGTGTTGCCACCGCAGGGATCCTGTCAGAGGTGCAAGAGCAGGAGCTATAGCTGGTAGTTGTGGTGGTGATGCTGCGGAGATGCTGCCGTGGTCACGAACCATTTTCCGTGTAACCAACGCCAACGGGGTTAGCTGCAATTAGCCTGTCGCCAGTGACCCTAAAGTGAAGACAGATAAAAACGACAGATTAGTTTAATCGATTTCCAGTGCTTAATTAACCGCATTCGGGTTAAGTGGTGTTTCTACGCCAATTTAATCACAATTCGTGTGTCCCAATTTTGGCTTAAATCTTGTCTTGACCTTGAATTTGGCTTGGATGCAGGGACTTATTATTTAAAGTCTCAAAATGTGGCCTCGAAATAAGTCAATGTCAATTAAGCAATAAGACTAAAAAGGTAAATGCAGACTAAAAGATATAAGCTTTTTGTAACATGCATTCCTTAATTAAAAACTACTTTAAGAGCTAAAAATATTACACAAATTAAGTTCAAAGTATCTGTGGGGTTTTTGGAATGCAGAAGTTATTTAAGCATCGCAAAAGCAATAAACTTGGGTCAAGTTTTTTTAGGAAAGCCACTGGAATGCAGAAGGTGGATGCCCCAGGTGGCAGTTATTAAAAGCAGCGTGAAACCAATAACATTGTGTTAACTCCGGGATTATAGTTAAGAAAAATTACGAACTTTACTTTTCATAAAAAAGTTTTTAATGTATTTTCTTATTTTAAAGCTCAAGATGGGCTCTTTATATCAATTTGGGTAAATCCTTTGAGAGGATGAATATATTTTGGCACATCATGTTTTGTTAACAACTGTAACCGAGGCATTCTGGTTTGCGGAAATGCCCAACCTTTGGACCTGGACTTGAAAATCAATTAACACCTGCTTGCTCAGGATGCCTGAGGTCAGTTCGGATGATTACTTACGAGCACTTGTATTATGTAAATCCCGAGGAAAATGTATTTTGTTGGGGAAACTTAATTGCTTATTAAATAACTGCCCGGCCAGGCCACGTGAGCCTTGAGGCAGGCATCCGAGGATTCGAGTTCCAGCCGCAAGTGCTTTTCAACTGAAACTTAAACACGAACTTCTCTGGGCCCGGGAAGAGGAACCTGAGCATAAACAGCACTTGGCGGCAGCCGTTGAGGCCAAAGACAAATTCCAAGCTCAAAACTTTTCGCCCAGCAGCAGCGGCAGCAAACTGCAGTGCGTCCCAAGAACAACTTGAATGTCTGGGAACAACTACAAGTGACCCATGACCCGACCCATTCCGCTCAAGCGTTTGCTTATTATATTTACAACTCTCGTTGGGAACAACCCAACAAAGTCGGAGACGGGGGACAGCGACAGCGAAAACTCTGCCTTTTGTGCGAGATCCGTTGGAAAATATTTAGTTCCGCTTTGAAATTGGCGTAGTTTTCCCGTTGGCCTTTATGGCATTTAAATGGCACTAATTGGCCAATTGAATTTTGTCTTTGGGTAGTACTAGTTTTTGTTTTGGCCTTTTGTTTCCTCGAAATCGAATGCCCTGCCCCTTTTTTGGGTGGCTAAAAGCTGTGGCATTGGCAATTAATCACTCAGAAAGGATATGGAAAATGGTCCCTGTTTTCGTCCTCCATGAGAATCTGTACGCATGGCAGTGGTAGTCAAACAGCTTATGCTGTTCCCTGTCAGTTAATTTGAAATGTGCACAGACTGCTTTTGAATGCTCGTTAGATGTGCCCAGTTACAGGACTCGCAGTTCTCAGATGCTGCACTTTTCTGGGAAATCTACCAACAAAGGCAAAGGAATTGGAAGTCAAAGAATCCCATTGGGCAAGATTCTATTCATGTGCTGCTTGATTTACAATGATTTTATTCACGGCAATCTGGTTTTGAAACGATGACCATTCAGCGAACATTGAATTTTTTGCCAAGTATTTATTTATTGGAAGTATATGTTATATAGGACACTGAATATTCAATTTAAGTCAGCAAATGATAAAATGAACATTGTTTCATTGCTTTTGTTTTGTTATGAAAAATCGTTTACTTATTTTTACAGATGGTATACAATTTATATTACCCAGATCGCGGCAAGACAAAGATGAAATTTCTCTGTTGTTTAAAAAATACAACATTTATGTTGGCATTAAATGCGCATTCTGTTTTTCTCCTTCGTTCAGGATTCTTTTTGGTCAGTCATGCGTATTCACGTTAAGGACTTGTTTTCATCTACTCAACTTAATGAAAGGTTTTATTTAACAGATTTTAAACAAGTGCCTGGGCACTGGAGCATAACCTGTTGAATGTCAAGTATTTGCATCTGTCTGCTTTTTTTCCATTTACAAAGCCGATTATAAATGTTAAACCAACCCACTACACACAAAGATACTATAAAAATGTATTTTAGAAATGCAAAAATGGAAATAAAAGTTGCATCGTTCACACATTTTAAAGATGCAAAAATGTAAATAAAAGTTACGTTGGGATTTAAAAAGAAATTCAAATCAATTTCCGGTCATAGCTAATTCTTAGCTTTGTGCTATGAATATTTATAAATAAATAATAGGTTGTTATTTTTAGGAAAGCATTTTCTACTTAAATTATCCCGCTAACAAAGCAATTTGCTGTCGTGTAACGTTCTTTTTTTTAGTTAATCATTTCTATTCAGGAGCTTCAAAGGAATCAACTGAGGTCCCAGGGCATTCTCTGGGTCCTCGAGAAATTGTGCAAGCTGGCCTGACTTGTTTGGGCCCATTCGACAGTCATTCGATTAGACCAAGTTCCTTTGGCGGCCAGGGCCACGCTGCTGCAGATTATCCACTCATATCAGGCGCTTTTGGTGCACTAAACAAAAGCGGAACCATCACTTAGGCGTACACTCTTTCATGGCGGATATGCGCCATTTTGGCTGGATGCACAAGCCCCTCGTGCCGGCTTTTGCCAAATGCATTGCGTCCTTTATTTTTCCGCCACAATTTTCATCCTCACTCGCAATTTAATTATGAGTGGAAATGGTTTAAAGTGTTCAGTCCTTTTCCCTTGCCGTGCGGTTTTGTTTCGTCCTCCGGCAACTGGGACCGCGAAATGATTGCACGGAAGCAATTATTCAGCCACTTGCTGAAAAGGCTGCAAATCGCTAACAAGCAAAGCAAAAGAGCAAGACAATAATTTATTTAAATTAAGAAGCTGCCACTATTATTGCATTGCTTAAAGGGAGGGAATAACATTACAAAACTGAGCTATTTTGTTTAAACGCTGAGTCCTTCATTGTACCGGGAGCTATCCTTGGGTATTATTTTAAGCGGTTATTATTTTAGGAATAGCCTTGCTGTAGATTTAATTGCTTGCTTACCCCAAAACCCCACATAAAATATATTTTAGGTCAAGCATTTCAGTACCAGAGTTTCATAAAAAACTTATTTAATAAATAATAAGAATTAAGGATCTTAAAGCTAGCTAGTTTTCCCTTCAACATTTTGTATCGTTAACGTATTTGATTGAAAATTATATGCCCTTTGAAATGTCTTTAGCTCGCGTTGTGGAGCACGCTTTAATGCCTTCAAAAGCACAAAATCACGTTCATCCCTAAGCGATTGAAGCCATATTTTTATAAAATCAAATTTTTGCCAGAGTTAGCAAAGCCACGCATCCAAGTCACATGTGTCCGGATCAGACGTGTAATGTGTTGAATATCCTGGATGCAAAGGGTTGTCCCAGCTGCAGGGATATAGCCACCAGCTGATTCACGGACATGGAGTCCAGGCGACATCCAGGATTTAGGAGTGGGAAATCCAAGTCGAGCCAGTTTTCAATGTTGTTTTTCTTTTTTTTTTCATATATATATATATATATATTTTTTTTTTTTGTGCCAAGGGATCCCATGACCCCCATGGGTATATTGATTTATGCTCGCGCCAGTTTTCATTTCACAATTTTCACTTATGTATGGCAGTTTATTGCAGTCCTCATCTGCACTCAGGCTCGGCATTTTCCCCAGCCCCCATTCACACATTCCCTTGGATATAGCCACATCCTTATTTATCCCCACCGATTCCCCTGCTGCACGTGCCTTGGTTGGGGCTGGTTATTCTAAATGCAATGTTTGCGGCCCAAGGCTGCGACAAAACTGAAAAGTTCTGTGCCGCCGCCATCATCAACAGGCTCTTAAATGCCTAAACATGCACCGAGAACGAACAATGGTAAATTTAATAAGTTGGGTATAAATAAAATAATTAAGATATATTTGCATAAAATGAGAGATGTCTCCTTAATATTTTATAATTGTATATAAAGTATTTTAGATATACGATCTTTTTTTCTAAGGTTAGTGCCTTATTGAGTGGTAAGGGTATGGTTTTATTAGCTTTAAAGTACCTTTAAAATGTGTTTAGCAAATCGGTAACATTTTCCTTCAGTGCAAGTGTGATGAATACTAATGCTGATGGCTAGAAAAACTTAGATAGCGAGGGGGCACGTAGCTGAAACTGTGATTTGTGCCGCATTAGAGGATGTCAAGTATTCAATCTGCTTGGAATTAAGCCACGGCACCTTTAAGATGCGGATTCCCATTGTGACCGGCCGGCGAACCGTCGTCACTGAGTCAGCTGGCAGAACCGGCCCAGAATGTAGGCAAAACAGTCAAGTGCACTTAGCGTTGCATATGGTGATGGTGGAGGTTGGACCAAGTGCAGCAAAAATGGAGGAATGGGTAGGAGCCGAGCAAACCAAAGAGCTATCTCCGAGGCCAACTGAACTCTCGAGAACTCGCCCCCAAGACATGCGGCTGTCTTCGTCCACTGAAGACCACTTCATGGAATGTTGGAGATGCCGGGTCTTATTTGCTTGGCAAGTGCTCCAAGGAATGCCGC